CTTATCAAGACTGAGTTATTTTTGCCAGAGAAGGGCCCTTTTGTGCGTATTAATTTCACACTGAATCATTTTTTCCCCGATGACATAAGCGACCATCGTGCCTATCTCTTCTTAAGGCTTATAGGACTCTTTTTATAATTTCTATTTACTACTACATGAACAAACATGGCGGGGGATAGTGAGAACGCTGTTTTCTTCTTATGTTTTAATAAAAGTCCAAGTAAGGCAAATTCTGTCATAGTCAATGGGATTGGCCGCCATGTTGTTGATATCGCTAACCCAACATTGAGGCTGTTTTGAAACTCTCCTCAGTTCGCGAGAACCACGGGAACCCCGGGAACCCTGGGAATGGATCCAGGGGTAAGTATAGGTTTACTGAAATGCGAGCCCTGGAGATATAGAGGATTAATCAGATAGTGATTATTTACAACCTTCACCTGCATCCCCGCTTTCTATATCCCAACAAAGGTTTTTGTTATCCTTTAAAAGCATGGTACATTTCACATTTCTTAATGTGGAATGCCAAACCGTCCCGCGGCTAGCATGCAGCTTGGATTGTGTTCTCCCCAGGGAGAGAGGAAGTTGACTGTTTGGCCAGAGTAAGATTGTAGCGCCGTCATGAGCCTCTCCAGCATCTCAAACCAGTAATCGTTGTTGTGGCCTAACGATGCTAATGTCAATGTAACCTCCAATATATACGCCGGGGTAGACCTATCGTGTGTGGAGAACCTGACCTCGTTACATACTCTAATGAATAGGTTCACCGAGTCGTTTTAGAGTACGGGAAATAGGTGAAGTTCACCCTCTAACAATGTGTATTGTTACATATTGCCAATTACTGCAAATCTCCTTTCAAGGGATCCTGTTCTTATCCAGTCAGGCAACCAGCACCTTTGATCTCAAATGCGCGGTTACCGTCGAGCCGTCTTCAATTTCACCTAATCGGCGGATTGAAATCACAGAAGCGATTTCAGAAGCAGGGACACATATGTCCGACATTTATGTTCGTAGTGGGAATAAAGGTCCCTGTTTCGCTGTGGTTACTTTTTGACTGACCTTTTTTTTAAAAGCCTTTTTGTCTTATAATACGTGTAGATCTTTGTCAAAAAAAAGGTGCGGTGGGTAGCAGAGTGGTTAAGACCAGGTTTCATTCCCTACATGGGTACAGAGGTTGAAGCCCGTTTCTGGTGTCCCCTCCGTGGTATTACTGGAATATAGATGAAAGCGGCGTAAAGCCATATTCACTCAAACTTTGCTAAACAAACTTTGTGAAAAAAACCACACAACCGGACAATCGAACCTGCGTGTCTGCATAATCGGGTGGAAGGTCTTGTTCATGGGCCAGTCGATTTTGTATTCACTTCATTGTCCAGCAAGTACTCTCCACAGCAGTCCCCTTTAAATGACAATGGATTCTTCCGTTGTATTTGGAACGCCCGCTTTCCCAAAACGCGATGTTCAAGTTTGTTTTAGCAGGAACCAGTTGCCTCCCTTAGTTACCAGGTGCCAAGATTCACCTTGATTATGATATCCTTGGTTTGTCAGAACGACATCCGTGGCCGTGGGTGTTACCAAAGGTATATACATCTGAGATCTGCTTCCCTTTGTGTTTTCTGTGTGAGTGTGTTTCTTGTTTAACGCCACATCGATCAGTACTTCAGCGGTCTGTTAATAATCGAGTCTTGGCCAGACAATCCAGTGATCGATATTGTGTGCCATCGGTGTACTAAGACACACAATCCATCAAGTCAGCGAGCCTGACCACTCGATCCATTTGGTCGCCTCTTAGAACCAGCATAGGTTTCTTGGATCCTATGTTAACCCGGAGCTGACGCAGGGGCTGTGTCTTATTCCGAATCTATCCTGACACAACCATCTTCGCGAGGCAAGGGAACTAACTGACTTTAAAAATCCAGTCGAAACTGGACTTTAATAGTCAGTAACTCCCTTGCCTCGGGAAGATGGACACAACGAGCTATTACATAGCTACTTCTAACATCGATGTTAGCCCAACTCACTGATTCATAACATGCAACTAAAGTACATGGATTCTAAACTATTTTGGACATTAGTGAGTGAATGATTGTTGTTTTACGCCGAAGTCATTATTTCTCTTGGACTCTATTCTTACACTGAATCCTGTCAGGGAAATTCAATACATCTTTAATTATATGTGACATTACTTTTTAAGTCTGAAACAATAACGATTTTGCATGAAATTCCACCTGCAATGTTTTACTTGGTTACGATTATTATCCTCCGCCACGAAGTGGAAGGGGGATATAGGAATGGGTGCCGTCCGTCCGTCCTTCCGGCCATCCGTCCGTCACATTTCGTTTCCGGGGCAGATCTTGAAAACCGTAACATATTTCACCAAACTTGGCACATAGATAGGTCTTGTAGTGAACTGGTGCCTTTTGATAGTTGGGATTTAAAACATATATGATTTTCGAGTTTCCATGGCAACGACTTTGACTTAGACTGAAAATGGCGGTAGTCCTCGTTTCCGGGGCAGATCTTGAAAACCGTACCATATTTTCTTCACCAAACTTGGCACATAATGTCATCTCGCAGTACTGAATACATTTCCTTTCTTGTTGGCAAGTTCTGCATTGCGTGTGTGTATGTTCCTCCAAAAGTGTCATGGACACGGTTGTTGCATTCACTGACTAAATTCATGCAGAAACACAACTCATTACAAATCAACAGTGTAACTGATCTTAAACCTACTCAACTGTATAAACACTGCCTCCTATCCTGTATATATTCTTGTCAACCATACTCTGTACTTCACTTGCTTGATAACGGTGTTTGAACCTACACCGGAACCATCGCTCCTAATTGTAATAAAGAAGTTGTTCGTCCATATGTCTCATCCCTACTCATTACAAATACAGTTACATATTCTATCATTAACTGCAGATGGCAAAACAACACCATTAATAACTTTTTTGAGTGCTGCAATTAGGCCATTTACAAAAAGGCCCAGTGAACATAGTTCACAGGAGCTAAAGCATTGCACACAATCGGACATGTCATATTGGCGGGGGATATGAGTATTTCATGCTTATTTGTTTATTAAGTTACACAGGCAAATAATACTCCATGTAGGCATGGGGCAGGCCACCAAGAAGTCTAAACTATAACATTCATTAGTATCAGAACGGAAGCCGTGTGAAGTAAACCAAAATATTCACCCATAAAACCGCTTATGTACATACTTTAGGGTTCGGGTTTTCTTGGAAACATTCCAGATGCAATTTTAAATTCTGGAATTACACAGAAGAAACGTTTTTGATTAAAAAATAGAACATTGCAATGAGTCGCTGTGAAGTTTATTGAGACAGGACAAGCAACACTTGGCTAATCTGAACCTCACATGTTATCTCGCCAAGCATTAGAAGGAATCCATATTGGAACTGTTTCACTAGTTTCACTAATTCACGTGACTATCACATTACATAACACAAACTGGCGGCAGTCGTGGCCCTCATATACCTTTTGCTTGGTATTAAATGGCTTATTAAACTTTATGTCGGATGTCACGTTGTGGAACTGTATGGGGAGGGATCGCTCGGTGTGTGGTTTACAAGACATATTCAACGTAAAAAAAATTCATTGATACCCGGGTATTGTGTTGGTAACGGAATAAGCCCAGTGGACCTGAATGTACAAAGGCAATAAACGTATAAGGAATGACAAATCAGATTTGATGAAAGAGTGAGTACAAAGGATCTTGGGAACGGGCTCCTTGTGCTGCATGACTTGCATCTTGTGCAGCACGAGATAATATCACATGTCCGTCCTCGTGATGAATCATTTCACGTCTTAACGAATAAAAACGCGTCAGAATCAAAGTTCGTTTGATTAAAGGGCGAGGACGAGAATTTTGAAATTATTTAGGAATGGTGGACATTTCAAGATAAACTGACACTGGTGCCATTTATTCAGCATATAAGATAAACTATATGATAAACTGTCGGGCAAAACCCATGTTTGAGGGTGGCAAAAAATATAACAAACAAGAAATGGTTATTCGATGGTGATGTGTTTGATACCTGTACCAAACAATGAGTATCCCACAACAGGTCAGCCTAGTAACGTTTTGATAATGTTTGTAATGTTTTTGTCAAATTCATTTTCCAAGTGTATACTTTCTTTTGCTTTTGGTTTGTTGTTTTACGCCGCACTCAGCAATATTGCAGCTATATGACGGCGGTCTGAAAATAATCGAGTCTGGACCAGACAATCCAGTGATTTACGTCATGAGCATCGATCTATGTAATTGGGATACGATGACATGTATCAACAAAGTCAGCGAGCCTGACCACCCGATCCCGTTAGTCGCCTTTTACGGCAAGCATTGGTTGCCAAATAGTGACAGCCCTATGGGCACATCGTATGATTTGTCCCAAATAGTGACCGCCCTATATGGGTACATAGTATGATTTGTCCCAAATAGTGACATCCCTGTGAGATTTGTCACGAATACACTAGGCTGCTTTCAGTGATGCTTCTCTGTTGGGTTGACAATTCATGTTTTATATTCATTTTCTCTCTTAAAATGTTAAGGTAATATATAGAAGAGCCGACTTGAGACTAGAGTTATCTGCCCCTTGTGACCAAATATTGTACGTTTCTCGCTAAAGGCTCGGGATTAACGCCACCCATTCACTCCTGACAGTTAATCCGTAATGCCTCGTGGTTCGTTAGTTATTATCTAAGTATTTGGTGTAGAGTTTCAAGGATATATCTTTTGTAATGTGTAAAGACTTTTCGTGGATAACAATTTCTTTATTGGTTGTACACGTTACATGGCAACTTGATGCATCTCCGTGGAGTGAAGGCCTTGGGACGTCGTTGCAAACAATTAAGTTGCGTTATGACATGAAGTTGTGACATATAAACAGTTTTATGTCTTCAAGTTCTTCCAGCTTTTGTAATGTATGTCTATAAAGTGACGCCCTTTTTCACATTCTATATTACTTCTGGGCTTCCAGGTGTGGGTGCGATACACAGATAACAAACGACAAGAGTCAGACGGCGTTGAACATCCTGATGGACGAAAAGCCTGACGGTTGGCAGGAGACGCTTCACTGGTACAAGAAATATCACCCAGGTACATCTCATGACAGAGAGACATGTCAGTGTGGGGTGCATGGTACAGCGGCGAACACGATACTGTTAGTTTGTTGTTTAACACCGCACTCAGCAATATTCCAGCTACGGCGGTCTGTAAATACTGTAATCAAGTCTCGACCAGACAATCCAGTGATTGACATCATGAGCATCGATCCACGCAATTAGGATACGATGACATGCATCAACCGAGTCAGCGAGCCTGACCACCCGCAAGTCGCCTCTTACGACAAGCATAGTCGCCTTTTACGGCAAGCATTGGTTGCTGAAGACCTATTCTACCCCGGATCGTACACGATACTGAGTCAGTTTAGAAATATAACGCATGGATATACTGGCAGGTGTTCCTGTAGTCGCCCACGGGGCCGTAATTCGCTATCCCTTCTTCGTGTCGTAATCCGAGTGAGTGAGTGAAGATGGTTTTTAGCTTCTAGTAATATTCCAGCAATATCACGGCGGGGGATACACGAGAAATTGGCTTCACACATGGTATCAATGAACCCGAAACCGCGAAACGCTTTAACCGCCAGGCTACACCATCGCCCTTTAATCTGATGATCGGGTGTTTGAATCCCAGATCGACCCAGGGTCTCGTTCCATAAAGCGACCTTAGTTCTACGACAGTCGTAAGCCTATATTAAGTATGGGAGTTACGATCATCTGGTAAGCTCGCTTCGTGGAACGGGGCACTGATTATTGGGTCCTTGGTTTGTCAACGCCATGCTCATGAAATGCTATATCACTTCGTCGACACATTAATGACAAGATTGAATTGTTTTGCACATGCATAAACGAGGCCTTCAGTGGTATAGAGTACGTCATTTGACTTTCTTGCTTCTGTAATTATCAAGCATATATCCCAACATTTTACAAGTGCGATGTTTGAGATACAACACCGATTGTATTGCACATCTTTTGATTTTCCGCAGGTCTGTGGGTATTATTGCAGGAGCCCCAGCCAGACCGGAAGCAAGTTGAACGTCTGCTCCTCATGTGGTCTCGTCTGACAACAGTCAAGAACGGGAAGATTGTGAATATGAAGACATTGATTCAGGATGATGTTAGGAAAACAGACCTTTTACAATTGATTGAGAAATATGAGAACTCTATTGAGCTTGCTCTGGCATTTGTTGGCGGTCTAGGATTCATTGTGCGGATGTGGCACAAACAAGGTGAGACTCTCTGTTCCTGAATAGGATATGGTTCTGATTTAGATAATGAAATTCTGTGCCTTTGTACCATCAAAACCATATGTGATACATATTCAGTGATGTAATTGCGTTAGCGAAATCTATGTGCATTATCTTTAAGTGGAATTTTAGAAGCTGTAGTCTAAATGAAGAAAGGAATGACTAACGGATTTCAGAATGTGGGAAGAATACAAAAGTGGAAATCAACAAGTCAACTCTGTCGTTACCTATTTGTTTAACTGTTTGCATGAAAATTGGAACACATGTACATCCCGACTGTGCTTGGTCAATTGTATGACATCGTGAAGAAAAATATTACATCTAATGAATAGAATGCATATACATCTTATATATCTGCGTATATCTTGCAGCACTTTCAAAGATGCAAATACAGTTAATTTCACTGTCTGAAGCTACCCCCTTTCTACCTAACGATTAAACATGTTACAATATATATACTCAGTCTGTAAAACCATTTTTGTGTTTTCAAATGTTAACTTTGTAATCGTGCAGGTATTTTGACCAATCACGACGTCAACACAAGGGATCACGCCTACCAGAGACACTACCCAGAATGCCCGGAAGTCCCACAGCCCCTCCTGGCGGTGACGTGGGAAACTAACAGCCTGGACGCCATGGAAATGATCATGGACTTAAAACCAAACACAAGTGTCCTTTACAACGAGTATTCCGATTCTTCCCAAGCTAAACCTCTTTTCTTTCATGTAAGTTTATTCGCACAAAAGGAAACTTCTTTTAGACTTTTATTGATCAAGTAGTGATTTGCATAGCAGAAGGTTGTGTTGTAAAGGACAAAATGGTCAGTCGTCTTGTGTTATGTGATGAGGAAATGTAGGGAACCGTGAAACAAGTTTTTACCTCTTTGCGAGCAGGCAAGTGACACACACATGCAACAGTTTCATGATCCATTTAACAAACATTCAAATTTTCAATCGTTGAAAAGAGACCGACGGCACATTTGTCATTGAATACAACTGTCTGAACGTAGTCTGTTTCAAATGTAGGGCGTTCCCATACTTTTTGTATAAATATATATCAGACAAGAAGATATTCCAAATGTACTGCTCCTAATCACGAAATAAGTAAAATGACAACAAATATACAGAGTTATATAATATACTAGCAGCAAAAAAAACAACACCCACGAGGACAACAAGGACATGGAGATAAAGTGTCAGTTTGCGGTCACTGTAAAAACTTGTACTTCCAGAACAAACGTCCGATAGTATTTACAATGAGTTTTTTGTCCATGAACAGACAGTGTACCGTTACTGAGTGACTTTGGTTTCACGCCGTTTTGAACCGTATTTCAGTCATCTTGGTGTCTGTGGAAAGCATGAAGCGGTGCACGTCTTATGGGTTTACCACTTTGACGAAACACACGAGCATGGGTATGGTGCTGACAAACCTAGAAACATGAACATGGTGAACCGGGATTCGAATTCCCAAATTTAGGCAGCACGTCTAAGGGACGCAACTCTGCAAAGTGAATTGCGGTGCCTCAGGTTATTGGGCAACCTGTGTCTGTACAATGAACAATGGACGTAAGTACTGTAGTCAACGTAGGCGCGAAATAACGTGTACTTTATACCTCTATTTCAAATTACAGGTGTTAACGAGTCAGTTCCGTCCGCGCGATGACAAGGTCATAGAGAGATTGTTCCAGGGGTCAGACCTCGACGCCCGTAATATGGACGGCCAGACCGTCCTGTTTGAAATCATCAAATATAAAGAGACAGAGAACATTGGTAGAAGTGTACTTGCAGCAGGTGTGAGCATCTCTGCCAGGGACAGGTTTGGGAGAACAGCACGTGACTATGCCCAAGCGCTGAACTTACCTGTGTATATGAAACTGATTGATGAGCAGGTGCTGAGACTCATCAAGAACAAGCAGTTTGATGCCGTGGAGAAGCTGATTCTTGAAAACTACTCATTTACTGGCATCAAGGACAGTTCTGGCAAGTCAGCGGCAGAGTATGCCAAAAAGCATTCCTCGCGACAGGTGTTTGAAGTCGTCAAGCTTGTGGATGCAATACAGGTAGACTAAGTGTAGGGAAGCAGCTGGAGCTAATATAAGCAGAGAGAAACAGCTGTTGATCGGGGATTTATCTAAGATTTTTACTTTCTCTGGCAGGAAATTAAAAACAATATTATTTTGTCTAAAATTGGAATTTGTTTTAATCCGATATTTCATATCATTCAGAGTCCGTTTAACATTGGATGCAATTGGCATAATACTTAAACATGTATTTATCGAGCCTGTGTAAGATAAAATATACACAAATAACCTTTTCAAAACTGAGGAATTCTTACATTAACTTAATATGTGAATGTTTGGCTCAGATTTGGTTTTGGCATGAGGCCGAATATTGGCATCTGAGATCGCCTAATAAAATTCCCCGGGATATGTTATAGTTCCCACTTGACATAGTTTAACGTAACAATTATCCCTTTGAATTTGTAGTTGAAAGTGTGATCGGTACAGTGACACATAATTGAAGTAATAACTGCTTAGGTTATTTCTATGAATGGCAAGTTAAAGAGTTACTTCCCTTCCGATATGGATTTTGAGGGGTTTTTTTCTATTTCGGAAAATTTGGTAAATAATAAACTCGTCGGGGGAGGTCTGTGCGGAAGCCTTTCATGGCCATTTTTTTTTTTTATATAATAATTTGAAATTTGAAGATACATATAAGGGGCGTTCAATAAGTTTTGCAACTTCAATGTAAGACCAAGTCGCTGAATATCTTTTGCACTTATATTTTTCAATATAATCTCCATTCACCTCAATACACTTATTCCATTTGTCCGTCAAGCTTTTAATACCACTTTTATAGAAATCCGCAGATTGGCCCTCTAACCAGGCCTCTGTGGCAGCCTTTATGTCCTCGTCATCCTGGAAGCGTCTTCCACGTAGGACAGATTTCATTTGCCGAAACAAGAAATAGTCACTGGGGGCTAAGTCTGGGCTGTAGTCTGGGTGATTTAACTGTTCGAATTCACATTCACATATGGCGGCCTGTGCAATTCTCGACTTGTGAACCGGAGCATGTAAGGAACTTTATTACAGCGCGTTGTTCATCTTTGAGAGAATCCATGATTGTGACCACCCTTAGGTGAAAGAAGCCACCACATCTAACTTATTGTTGTGTCTGGAACTTGTTATGGCACGTGTCAACCTGATTATATGACTAGTGTCACACCTGCCACAAGTTGACATTGTTTGTGTAAACACAAATGCCCAATTCAAGTTGCAAAACATATTGAACGCCCCTCGCACTAAGTTGAAATTTCAAGATAATCATCTTGAAATTTCAAGATGATTACTTGAAATTTTAACTAAGTATCTTGAAATTTCAACTTATTATCTTGAAATTTCAAGTTAGTGTCATGAAATTTCAAGATAGTATCGTCGACTGGACCAGAGTTTAACTACTTCTACTTCTCCCTTTTACGAAATAATTCACTGTGTGACAATTTCTTGTATTCAGACGTATGTGAGGCGCGTGTTCACTGCAGTAGAGGACGATGCGATCGACGACCTGAAGAAATTGCTGTCGTGTCAGAAGTATGCTAACGCGAGGGATAAGTGTGGGAGGACGTCATTACTCAAAGCCATACTCCTCCGCCAGAGAGACGCCACGTTGATGCTTGCCCGGGACTGCTCCTTCATCGTCAACACACCTGATAATGTAACTATAACAGCTTGCCCGTAGACACGCAAGATAGTACTATAACCATAATGCTAAAGAATGAGAGAGTGCGGCTTGGGCAAATATTTGATAAGAAGGCACAGATGGCAAGGTCGCTTAAGGCGCCACAATTCACTGTGCGGAGTTGCTTCCCTTGAGCACTCCAGGATCCTATGATCAATTCGGCGTGCAAATCCTATCATATATTAGACATATGCTGCATGTAAACCTTTTCGTGTTGGCGACCTTTTCGCCTTGCAAATGTTACCTTATGCATGATGTATTCGACAAGCAAACCCTATTTTGCTGATGACTTTCCCGTCTGTAATTTCAGCTTGGGCGATACCCTCTCCATTACGTCCATCTCTTCATGGATGACCCAGAAGTGATCGACGTCCTTGAGCGACAAGGTGCTGACCCGGATCAATGTGACCTAGTACGTAGCGTTCATTTCCGGTCTGGCCAGGAGTTAGTAAATAGTAAAGGTTTCTTCGGCAATGTTTTCGCCTTATAGCGACAGCTGATAAAGGGCCTGGAAACTGAACCCGCAGATCAAGAAAGCACCCTTTCGGATGCTGCAGTCTTTCTCCCTTTATGGCTAACAAACGCTAATTGTTTCCCGAAGTATGTGTTAGCATGTTTGTGCACCCTGCCCCATTTTCAAAAAGCTGTATCCGCGATTGCTGACAGTAATGTAACCACATCTTGCTCCCCGTAGCGAGGACGGCGTCCAGTGGCCTACAGTCGGAAGATGTGCAGCAATCAGGAATTCTTGAACCTGCAGAAGGAAGTCCAGGATTTCGACATGGAGGTCTTCATATACGAAACGAACTTTGAGGAAGCTCTAAAAGGTGCTATTAAAGTGAGTATATTTACATTATTCACCAAGGACATAATTAATATGTATTTATGAAATGCAGGTACACAGATGAGTGAGTGAGTGAGTGAGTATAGTTTTACGCCGCTTTTAGCAATATTCCAGCAATATCACGGCGGGGGACACCAGAAATGGGCTTCACACATTGTACCCATGTCGGGAATCAAACCCGGGTCTTCGGCGTGACGAGCGAACGCTTTAACCACTAGGCTACCCGACCGCCCCGGTACACAGATGATGTACCATCCTTTTCGAGTGTACGAAATGAAAAAACAAATTATATTCACAAATATGAATATATTTTTTCGCGTTCATTAAAACGCCTCTCATAAAATGTGTGACTAGCGTTGACTCTGTTGATATAGAGAGCTGACCTCGATATGGTAACGAGGCTGGTGTCCGGTCTGAAGGAACATGGCGAGGTGAAGCGGTTCAACTCGGTGTTGTTTGACTGTGTGGACCAGAGACGGGAGGACATTGCAATGTTCCTGTTGAGGAATGGTTTCCAGTGTGATATATACAAACAGGTAAGCGAGTGAGAGAATCTTATCTTACGAAGCCAGATAAAACAGTGGTCGATGGTATGAGCAGTATGCATGACGTCCTGGCATGACGACACACAATCAGACGGGCCCCACATTGTCCGAATCCGAACCACCGATTCCTTATTAATCGTCACTTACGAAAAGCATGTGATACTGGGGACCTATTAGGGAATCCCGGCAATGACATCATCGGGTGAAGGCTTGTGGCTTCCAGTCCCTGGAATACACACGAGGACAATGAGATACAATACTTGTTTGTTGGTCTCTTAATTGCTATTGGACTCAATTATAGCAGACCTGTGAAGATCCGGGTTAGCATAGGTCTTCAGCAACCCATGCTTGCCGTAAAAGGTGACTATGCTTGTCGTAAAAGGCGACTAACGGGATCGGGTGGTCAGGCTCGCTGACTTGGTTGATGCATGTCATCGATCCCAATAGCGTGGATCGATGCACATGATGTCAATCACTGGATTGTCTGGTCCAGACTCGATTATTTACAGACCGCAGTCATATAGCTGGAATATTGCTGATTGCGGCGTAAAACAACGAGTTAGCGAGCCTGAGCACCCGATTCCTTTAGTCGCCTTTTACGACAAGCATGGGTTGCTGAAGATGGATTTAACCCAGATCTTCACGGGTCCGTGTAATGCGGTGGGAAAATAAAATGTCACGCAGATCTTTCACGCTTACAATGTTGTTGAAACACAAATGGTAATAGTTTAAACTAGATAATCGGGTAATTGTTTAAGAAGGTGAGTATAAATTCGAATTGTGACGTGCAATAAAGGAGATGTTTCCCTTTCAGTTCAAACATTGCAACCCAAATGACCCCATGTGTGCCATGATGGAATGCAGTCATTCGGTGACGTCACTCAAACAACGTGCAATTGACAAGCAGTGCAGCAGAGTGGAGCGAGCTATCACTGATATGATGAATGGTGGACTTGTGAGTGGCTTAATTCATGTTGAACAGATGTACAAGATCATATTCCCGAGGCAATGGAGTTAACTGACTTTAAACATCTAGTTTCCACCTTTGCCGAACTAAGCTGGAATTATGGAGTTTGGTAGGACTAACGAGTCTATGCATAGTCAAGTCAAAATACCGTCACGAAATCGACATCCGGTTAATAAACAACATGGCAACCGCCGCGCCGAATTCGTTCCAATGCAGGATTTGCAGAACATGTGTACCGTCCACTGGCAATCGACAGATATTTTCCAAATCTTTTCATGTTTTAATCAGTGATTTGGTGAGCAGCGTATTGACCAAGCTTCTCAGACTTCTCAAAGTAAAACCCGTTTTATTACAATAAAGATCTTTATTATCGATGAAATCGTCTTGAGAGGTGCAATCTGATTTGTCAGTTGGGGGGACATAGAAGGGACAAAACTCGTAATAGTCACTGGTGGCGCTGCAACCGAAGCCAGAATTTCCTGCTTATTTCGGCAGGGGTGGAAACTGAACTTCGAAAGTCAGTTATCTCCCTTGCCTCGGGAAGATGCCTGAGCATAAGCTACTTTCTAGTGTTGAAGTATTGTATCCTTGGACGAACATGAGACAAATCAATTTTGCCAAATGGCGTTGAAAATAGATGAAAGCATTATATCTCCGATAGGATACCTCTGTGTCATGGGCCCGGCCTTGCTTGTATCCGTGTCATCCCATTTCTACGTTTGCATTAATTCCACAGACATTCACAAATCTTACAACATGGCTTTGTTGTGCTTGTAAATATACTACATAAACTTGTTATCTTCTATGAATTTGCAAATACCCAAAATGTAATGTTTGAGGGTTCTTTGTCTATAAGCTTGGTCAATACGCTGCTCAAGTATATATTGTAATCACATGTGTCGTATTTTCAGGCTCCGCTCGTGAGTGTTCCTCCTCCATTCAACTACATGCCGAAACGACTGTAACACGGAGGGAGGGTGTTTCCAAAGTGCTCATGGCGGACCAGACGGGTGTGTGACCCACTGCAGGCGGGTTGTCGTGTAAAAACAGTTCCAGTCCCTCACGGGCTATTCATCGACACATGCATGTGATGACATTTCAATGGATAGTTTGAAATACAGTGACATCTATAACGCCTTTTCATAGTTGGTAGTGCCCATAGCATGCAAAATGACTGGTTGGCATTATTTGTTTGTTTGTTTATTTTTGTTTAACGCCGCACTCAGCAATATTCCAGCTATATGACGGCGGTCTGTAAATAATCGAGTCTGGACAAGACAATCCAGTGATTGACATCGTGAGCATGGATCCTCACAATTGGGATTGATGACATGCATCAACTAAGTCAGCGAGCCTGACCACCCGATCCCGTTAGTCGCCGCTTACGACAAGCATAGTCGCCTTTACGACAAGCATGGGTTGCTGAAGGCCTATTCTACCCCGGATCTTCATTAACTGCTATAGAAACGTGTGGTTACATTAAGTTCTGATTGTGTTCAAGTATGCTGGACAACCTTTCTAATGTATCTTGTCTTCGACCATTGCCGTCCCTGTAAAGAGTTGCGGCCGTTGTGCCACTATGCGATAGTGTATTTGTTTGTTTCTTTGTTGTTTCACGCTGCTCTCAGCAATCATCAGGTATATGACGGCGGTCTGTAAATAATCGAGTGATTGACATCCTGAGCATCGTTCTACTCAACTGGGATGCGATGACATGCACCAACCAAGTCAGCGAGTCTGCCCACCCGTTCCCGTTAGTCGCCTCTTACGACAAGTATAGTCGCCTTTTACGACAAGCATGGGTTGGCTATACGATAGCATGGGTTGACTATACGATACCTGGTGGTTGATTCAAATCTCATATTCGCGTCAATTATGGACCTTGGTCTGTCAGCACCATCACGTGCTTCGGTGTCTGTCAGGTACCATCGCGTGCTTCTGGGTTTACCAAAGTAGCAGTCGTCTATATGACGTGGGTTACTTTGTGACTTCGATAACATTAAGTTGGCACGTCCTCAAAGCTGAAATACTGTTCAAAGAGACGCTTAAACCCTAGTCACTCGCTCACCAAATCCTTCAAAACATGCCCGATGCACTGGGAACATTGTGTGCGATATACAAACACAGTTGGGGCGGTATTAGGACAAACGTGTGATATATGCCATATACTTCAACTTCATATATCAACCGGGGAGGTGGGGAAGCCTTGTGGTTTAAACGTTTGCTCAGCACGCCAAAAGGCCCAGATTCGATTCCCCTAGTCTCATTAAAATCAGATCTTAGTTTTCGCTATCTCTGAACGAAGATCTGATGACATCCCATTACGGATCACGTCAGAACGACCTTTCATCCGACCAATCAAAGCGTCGCTTACTAGATCATGAAAGTGACAGTCGGAATGTTTTTTTCTAATCATGCAACCTCGAAAGTGTTAACACTGGGTATTCCGAATGACAGTTAAAGCCAGTACGACTGATTCCGTCAAAGTTGTCGTCTATCTCTTGCTTCCGTGGGATAAACATTTGAACGGAGGAGGCGATGCACAGTACGTGGGAAGCACTGCCACACAATCTCAACCATATATTAGACATCCCGGAATGTTCGTTTGTTCAGTTTTCAAAATTTTAATCGAGAACTGTGTCAATATATTTTTCAAGTGTAGTCTGAAATGAAAATCGCCAGGTTAAGACGAGTGCCGCCGTAAAGCTCGAAAAAGCTTGGCTGATGTCGACTTCTTGTTTGTTTGTTTGTTTGTTGTTTAACACCGCACTCAGCTATCTTCCAGCGAAATGACGGCGGTCTGTATTATAATCGAGTCTGGGCCAAACAATCTAATGATTGACATCATGAGCATCGATCTACGCAGTTGGGAAGTCTCTTGGTAGTTATCTGGATACCTTGTCTCCACCATTGTTTATGATCTGGAGAACTGCCTGGACATGCATTCTAATCAGTTTTAAAATGAAAAGTCACAATATCACCAAATATATTTTTTTATTATTCATTAGAAAATCAAACATTCAATGAAGGAAAACCATAGTCATTAAATAAAATTGATATTTTCGAGAGCTTGTTTCATTCCAATTGAACAGTGCAGGCATCGTTTATTGGGAATCTCGTGTATAAATAAAAAAGTTTACGATTACCAGAAAGTATCTTCTTTGGCTCTTTGTTCTCGCGATGCTTGGATACATGGGATATACAGGTTGCCCACTGTGGCCACTAGATGGCTGATCAAGCAACTCACTCACTCACTTACTTTTATTTATCTTTGGGAAAGAAATGATAATGTTAGGAATGTACGGTTACTGTACACTGAACAAAAACAAAAGAGATTCGGTTATGGCTACAGGTTCAGAATACATAGAGGTACATACAGGTGTCTATAAGTGAAGTAGTCCATAGAAGGTCATGTTTGTTGTTTAACGCCGCAATCTTCAAGCTATACGGCAGCGGCCTGTGAATAGTCGAGTCTGGACCAGACAATCGAGTGATTGACATCAACGCAATGGGGATACGATGACGAGCATCAAACAAGTCAGCGAACCTGTTTGTATGACCTGTTCAGTTGGCAGAAAATACACGAGTAATATTGCACGTGGAGTAAATTTGAATATGTAAGTACAAGTATTTATACTATGATCTACTATGCGTTCACATGCAAACTGTGTGACGTGTGCAAAACAAGTTAGTTTTACTTACACAAGAGTAGCATTAAAACTCTATACCTGGTAAGAAAAGAAGAAATTTCTCATATTTTCTGTATACTGGTCTGAAATTAAAACTGACTAAAGAAGCGTGTTACATGTTGAAATTACCCTACCTACAGAATGTACACCAGTCAGAGGACATGTGAATGTAAGGTTCCTATGGCAGTCTAATGGCTGTTCGTCTCCTAAGTTCAGAACTGTTGGAAACTGTTTTGGTGCAGGACAATCTACAGTGTGGAAGTATTTGCCAGACGTGTGCATGCTGTTGAGTGAGTCCCACTTATGTCAGATTTCCCCTAAAAAGACGTAAAAGCTGGCATTGATGGTAACGATAAATCTGGGGATTCCACAACAGTGTTGGTGCCATCGACACAGTTGTGGAATGTGGACTCGCATCTCAATCAATGGCCCATGCCCAGGCTGACGCTCTGAACAGGAAAGACTGGTATTCAATATTGCTTCAAGCTCTTTGCGACCACAAGTATCTCTTTACTGATGTAAACGTTGGATGGCCGGGACGAGTACATGATGCTCAAGTTTTAGGGAACTCCGAGCTGTTCCACAAAGTGAAGATAATGACCTGTTGCCAGAGTAGCAAAAGAAGATAACTACACCAGACTAGGAATTCACGGTGCCTGTCACAGCAGCGGCAGATGATGATGCATGTTCGATTAAACCCAGGTTGTTAGATGTTACGGACAGCCCGGCCATATTGTCCCCATTTTGCTTCAGACTACACGGTCTCTGCGCAACGACCTGGCTTCATACTTTGTACATAATACATACATAAATAACACGTGGAACATACGGTTTACGTTTTCTGACATGACATGATTCTGAATGTTCAGGAAACTGTTTTACAAAGGATCATCATAACCTTATGACTTGATTAAGAAAGAGGTGTTTCAAAATGTTGAAATACAAAGCATAAAACTAGACAAACCGATTTATCTTTTTATGGATGGAAACAATGAAAATGTCTGTCAGTGAAATGACATCTTGTCAATTGCGAGCAAATACTAAAACATTCAAATAAAATGTATCAAAATGAAAGGAGGTTTGGGGGAGCAACTTGTTCAAAACTGAATATTACGTGCTGCGAATACACTGACCGCGAGTATGCTCAATTACAATTTATTAAATGCTAATTATTTTAACATACCCATTGTTAACATACATAAGTGAGCCAGTTGGGCCGTTAGCATGGTACAGAATACATGGCATGTAAATATACTAATGTACAGAAATACTTTTGCAAGACTAATACCCCGTTCACATGCACAGCGTTTACTAACGTGAGTAATTTTACACATGTGTAACTATAGAAAAATGTTCACGTGAAGCAACATGTATTTGATTTAATTTGTACACAAAATTTTGACTCCTTGAAACCAATAGAAAACACCGTCCGCTCAACTCTGTATATACGCATAAAAGTTGGCAACTATTGACAATTTTGGTGTTGGCAAAAGAACAGATCTTAATCAGATCATCCTCTTACGCTAAAATAAACGTTCACATTGCAACATATACACACAGTGCAAATTTACATTTACATTTGCACCTGTTCCAGACATGATGCAAATTTGCTCCTGGTGTAAATATACACATGAGTAAACGCGTTCGTATGAAAAGTATACTCATGTATGTATTTCTACATACGTATGCACATATACACACAGATGTATAGAGGCGCGATGTACACGGGGTATTATATAAGTTAATTATATGTGAACGCATAGTAAATTTACGTATACACACGCATGTATAGTTAAACGGGAGCAAAAGTACTTGCGTGGGTAAATTGTGTACTTTGTTCATCTAAATATACTCCCGATGTCATGTCGCATACATGTTGCGTTCACAACCCACTGTCTAATGGTGAGTACATTTACTTATCTGTGTATTCACATAAGTATAAACGCTGGCGTGTCAACGGGGTATAGTAGCCCCCTTTAACTGCTGAAGACCAATTCGAACCCAGATCTTTTAGGGGGAGTAACTCCTGTAATACGAATACATGAGAAATATAATATTCAGTAGTGTATGTATTTGCTACTAGAACATACATGACAAAGTAGACACAATTTATGGATAACAACTTCTTTAATACTGTGAAGGCGACGTTTCGGTATGGATCCTTATACCGTTGTCAAGCAAGACTGTCTTGCTTCTAAGTAATGCCTATCAAACAATAGAACATACATAGTTATAACCACGTAAGTAGCGATATATGAATATTTGTCTCGGAAAAAAACACAAAACGAAAAGGTATGATATGGGTCCTTTTTGGCCCACAGGATATAAACTGCCCGGCAAAAAGAAAATGTACACTTGAAACATTTGATTCGACCAAAGAATTATTAACTTTATCAAAACGGTACTGGGCTGAAAACAGTCACCGAAACACTGCAAACGTAAGATCCGAAACACAACTGTCATACCGGTATCAAATACATCAACATCTAATAACCATTTCTTTTATGTATCATTTTTAGACAGCATCAAACATGTGTTGATACTTTCTTTTCCCCGGCAGTTTATATCATTTAAGAAGTGGCAAAACCTTTCAACAGAGAGCTCCGGAAATGAACCATACTCTCATTTGAAGATACGAGTATGTCCAACGTACGTGCTGCCTTGGAAACCTAAGCCGTAACAGTTTTTTTTTAAAATTCATACCAAAGGGCATTAGTTGCCCCTAATGAACAATACTACGGGGTTAACCTAAGGTTGGTGTCCTTATGAGTCCGACTTGCAGTTTATTGTTGTTTATACAAGGTTTTACCAAAGTCCCCAAAGCGAACTCTGTCTGTTTTAATCTACCGCATAATTTGAATAAACTCAGGTTGAACTAAAATAAATAGGAGACATACAAAACCCCAAAAGCAATGTCTACTTCTAAAGATATGTCTGTACAACATTTCCGGAATGAGAACTACCCTTTATTTCTTTCATGGTCGCTGAAGCCTATGTATCTTCTCGCAAAAACAGTTATATTTTTCATGAAAAGAATCCTTTCATCAAGAAATATATAAAACACACTGTGAACAAATTGACAATGCATATACATGTGTATTTCCCATTTCCAAAATAAAAGTTCATGATGCAGGCCCTTCTCCTTTTCCCGGAAAGAAACGAATGATCACGAATGAACCCACACTCCGTCGCAGTGGTGCCTCAGCATACACTATGCTAGCTGGCTGCCGGCCGCATGGAACTCTGGGTAGGAGGGTGGAATGAACCGGAAGCTATATAGACTTAACGGTCTACCGGAAATACATACAGAGTTACAGTTCTTGAAGGTAACACTTCCGTTTCGAACGACGCTCAACGAGAAACATTCCGATATTAATCTCCGAAACGAAACATGTTTGTTTGCTGATGAGACTTGGTATGAATACCGAGCAATAGTCATGGCATCTGGAACTTCAAAATACGGTGAAAATGGAGGGAATGAGGACAGAGACAGTGAGAATAGTTCAGAATCTGAAGAACACGACAGAAACACAAATCAACGAGTTCATGAAAGGGAAAAGAAGCCAGCAAAAACAGATGCCACAACAGACGACGAGAAAAAAGAAGCTACATTTAGTTTGACTGACCCTGAAGCCTTGCTGGAACAGTTAGAAAGTGTTGAACTGACCGAGGAAGATACCGAGGAACTATTACACGAAGCTTACAAAGTAAACATGAAATTGAAAGAGATGCTTCGTAGGCAAGAAGCAAAACGTCGTGACAGACTTTCAAGCGCAAAATCTGCATACAGTACTGCATCGAACTCAAGAAAACATCCAGGACCTTCTGTCCTCCCACCTATTACCAAGAAAAGCTCAGCAAGTGATTCTAAGGTATGCTGCTAGACACGTAGTGAGTTTAAAATACCCAGTTCACTTAAGAAGGAAGGTAAGACTGGTTTTGGTAGCTGTTAGAATTGCTTGGCCCTGGCCATGATAAACAATATAGGTTGTATCCAAGAATAAATTGTTATGGAAAAAAAGTATATAACTAAACATGCATTTTGCTGGACAACTTCTGCGAATTTACACTGATCTAAAGCAATTCCCCGGGACTGGTTGTTGCCTTTGTTATTGTTTTTCCCGGTGAGTACCCGGAGGATACTGCAACGCAACTGAGCGTGACAAGAGACTGGGCTACCGTCTGCAAGGACAGCAAAATAAACTTGGGACAATATTTGTTTTACCCATTTTTGAACACTGATTGGTTAACCATGATCTATAAAGATTTCGACAAAGGGCGCATGTTAATTAATTTCTGAGGACACCTCCATATAAGGTCATGTCAGAGGGTTATAGCTAAAATGGCACCTCAGCAAAACGTCACCTCCCCTCAAGCGAAAACGGCTATTGTTGCATGGCGAAAATGGCACCCTATTTTTTTTACCTTGGTAAAATAAATGAAATTAAACTCACATGGTCGCTTGCAAACACCAATCTTTGTGAAATGTTAAAACTAGTTTACATTAGAAATTAGCCTCTACTCCAACTATATTCCAACTTAGCCTATACCAGAGACCATATAATAGGTATGGTATAATATTATATGGTCTCTGGCTATATGCAACTCAACATTTTGTGAAAACATAACATGCCTTGAAGTTAAATAAATTAAATTAAACTCACATTGTCTCTTATAAACACTACTTAATTTTATAATAGTGAAATGTTAAAACAAGTTTACAGTAGAAATTAGCCCCCTACTCCAAATTTACTCGCCGACTCTGATTGGGAGGTGCAACTAACTTATTATGAAAACATTATATGCTTTGAAGTAAAATAAATGAAATTAAACCCACATTGTCTCTTACAAACACCAATAATTGTGACAAGTTAAAACAAGTTTACATTAGAAATTAGCCCCCTGAGTCAGCTACTATCACAGTGCTCGGTGGTACATGAGCCAATATTGTAAACTGTGATGAAGATCAAAACTGTGAAGAACTGTATATGTGAATGTATGTAGTTATCTGTGAACATCTGGAAACAGGAAATAATATGTAAATACATCAAATAATATGTAACAAATAACATAAATCAGATATTCTACCACATAAATCATTCTTATCGTTATTAGAAATGAGGTGCCGTTTTCGCCAGAGAAATCGGTGACGTTTTGCTGAGGTGACGTTTTCGCCTGCATCCATGTCAGGTGCCCTCGGAGCTATCTTTGACCACCCAAGCACCATAAAGGATATGTGTGCTTTTGAGCCAATGAGACGTCAGCTTTCAATCAATTCAGCTTCATTTCTTCACCACCTCGATTCACTTTTAACAAAAGAAAACCTGCACAGAACACAAATATTCTTCAATACTGCACCCTTTTTGGTGTGGATGATAATGTACAGAATTGACATGGTGTGTTAAGTATCCACAATATACATGCAATGGTGCAATGTTTTTCTCATTTATGATAGGAACAGGCCGATTAACTTCATGTCCAAGATACAGAAATCAGATTCTCTTCTCTGAATGTTTTGCTCATTTATACCTCCGACTCGATGCTTATTGGCTGATTAGAAAGTTCACCTGCCTGAAGTGCCTTGATCCAACTGGTGTAGAAGGCTTCCTCCTGGTGGTGTTAAAAGTCTCCACACCATTCTACTTAATCAATGCAAACTGATGTTTCTGACAATTTCCAAAGTGATACAGTTGCTAATATTTCTGGAAGTCACATTAACTCCCACTTCTGTCTCAATGATGTCAGTAGTGAACAAGAATACCTCCCGCAATGACTGCAACCATGCTTCTAAATTTGATGCCAAGGGCAAAGTCACACAGTGACACTGACACAAGCTGACAACTTAAAATATTTTACATTTCAGCTTGTAATGTTGTTCCTTTATGTTTTGTTTGTGTCAAAACTATATTTGACCCGTAAAGATCTGGGGTAGAATTGGTCTTCAGCAAACCATGCTTGCTGTAAAAGGCGACTATGCTTGTCGTAAGAGGCGACTAACAGGATCGGGTGGTCAGGCTCGCTGACTTGGTTGATGCATGTCATTGATCCCAATTGCGTGGATCTATGTTCATGATATAAATCACTATATTGTCTGGTCTAGACTTGATTATTTACAGACTGCCGTCATATAGCTGGAATACTGCTGAGTGCGGCGTTAAACAACAAACCAACCAACCAAAACTATATTTGATGTTTCCTCCATGGACTGATGTATAAATTAGTATTGTGTACATTGTTTTCTTCAACATACATCTTATTTAATAGTATAACCAACAGTAAGTGAACTAAAAGTAAGAGCCATTGGCTGTTACATTTCTTAAAGTAACTGGATGGCCCTCTTTGTGTTTATTTTGTTTTACATCACCCAGAGCAATATTGAAACTGTATGATGGCAGCCTGTGAAAAAACATAACAGCGTATCTGGTTTATTTTTTCAGAGGAGAGGTGATTCATCAAAGAAACCTAGACATCCCAGTTCAACAAGTAAAAGCGCCAAAGAAAAGCCAATCTGGGATGACCGGTTCTCCTTCAGTTGAACTTACCAACAGGACTTGCACATCTGTGATAGAAAAATAATACCTGTTGTTGTGAACTAGATATCACTGTGACATTGCAAAGCATCATCTATACGGATGCCCCACTTCACATCTTCACTGTGTGCTGCTAATCAGTGTTGTAGATGTGCATTAAAACAAGCTTTTATTTCTGATGTGATAACACTGATCTTTTCCTATGTGCCCAACTATATTTGATATAAGAAGCTAGGCTGCAAGATAGGCAACAAATCCGGCATCAGATTTCAAAATAGTTCATCTTAAATTTTGTGTAAAAGGCACTCTGAAATGTCTCAGGATGGGTGTTTTACTACTCGCAAATATCTTTTAGACGTTGGGCAGTGTTAAAACCCTTTTAACCCATTAACAGACCAGAAGCATTTCAGATGCCACACTTCACTGTGTGCTGCTTATCAGTGTTGTAGATATGCATTAAAACAAGCTTTTATATCTGATGTGATAACACTGATCTTTTCCTATGTGCCCAACTATATTTGATATAAGAAGCTAGGCTGCAAGATAGGCAACAAATCCGGCATCAGATTTCAAAATAGTTCATCTTAAATTTTGTGTAAAAGGCACTCTGAAATGTCTCAGGATGGGTGTTTTACTACTCGCAAATTTCTTTTAGACGTTGGGCAGTGTTAAAACCCTTTTAACCCATTAACAGACCAGAAGCATTTCAGATGCCACACTTCACTGTGTGCTGCTTATCAGTGTTGTAGATATGCATTAAAACAAGCTTTTATATCTGATGTGATAACACTGATCTTTTCCTATGTGCCCAACTATATTTGATATAAGAAGCTAGGCTGCAAGATAGGCAATAAACCCGGCATCAGATTTCAAAATAGTACATCTTAACTTTTGTGTAAAAGGCACTCTGAAATGTCTCAGGATGGGTGTTTTACTACTCGCAAATATCTTTTAGACGTTGGGCAGTGTTAAAACCCTTCTAACCCATTAACAGACCTGCAGATTTCAGAAGCATTGAATTGAATTTATAATATGCTATTCATAGGACTCTTTTTTTATTGTTTTTGCGATAAATGTTGTGTTAGATTCTGATTTAAGTCTAAATCATATGTTCAGTTTGTTTTATGAACTACAGTCAAATGTAATACTGAGAAGATATACTTCTATATAAGAGTTGCCTCCCTTAGATGTGTAAGGTGAGTGTCAGTATGTCACCCTGGGCTGTTCTGCCAAATAAGGCTGACAGTGTATGAAATTGTGAAAGCATTGCTCAACACCAACTCCCTTTTACCTGAAAACAAAGTATGCCTTTGGTCACAGGGGCTTGTGACACAAAAATAGCAGCTACAAGATATATTGTCACACCCAGTGTCAGTATACTTTATAAAAGGATAAAAGGATCATTTGATATAGTATACTGACACTGGGTGTGACCATATATCTTGTAGCTGAAAGTTGTTGTACAAGCCCCTGTGTCTTTGGTCTCATTCATCACTCCATGATAATATGTAAAATATTTCCTGCATCTACAACAATGATGAAAAAGATAAAACATTTCCTTATTCTTAAACATGTTGTAGGTTAGTCATGTGTTTGCCTAAAAAAATCGTTGTTTTTTGTCACATTTTAACATGAACTTCACATGAATGATTGAAATTGAGTTTTCTTCATGGATCGCATGCATCCATACTATTGCCCATGTCATTCTTTCATTCCCAATATTGTTATAGCAAAGCAATATGAAATTAACTGTATAATTGTTTTAGAAATATATGGTTCTCTGAATCAGGAATTCCACAGTTGCTTTTGTCCCTCTCAGTACTGAGCCGACTCTGTTTATTCCTTTTGCCTGTATAGTAATTGCAACTGAAGTATGTCTTTCTCTCTGTGGTCCTTCCGATAAGGGACGGACAGTTTGATATTCTGGGGCCTCCGATTTTATATCGAGTTCAGATATTTTTTCAGCTTCATCTATAAAACCAGATGTTATTTTATTTAAAACTACGAGCCTGATTTTCGTGAAAAAAAACAAAACCTTGCATCAATGTAATTTTGTGGAATGTTTTCTCAACAGTCTCAAACATAATTAAAAAAAATTTGGGATAAAATATCAGACCCCTGAAATGGTCAGTCCCCTAAGTGTTCATATTATTAATAATTAATATCAGATCCTGTACTACAATTTGATACCTCTTTCTGTAAATGTCTCTCATGTCTAGTAAACCTTCTCATCAGTTAGTCAACAAGGAGGCATCTAAGCTCTTGGTACAGGTGAGCATGGTGAGAGAACACGGAGCAGCATATCAGATATCTGTAAGCCAAAATTAACACAAATGGGCAGTTCTGAATGGAGAATATAGATGGTTGGGTGTGGAGAGGGGAATTCAAATATCTGATTTCAATAAGATTTTATTTGTGATAGATATGTAAATATGTTCTCACCAAATACATATGTAGATCCCCGTATTAAGAACAGTTTTTTATGTACTATCAGTATTATAACTTATTGTATGTGTGTTGAACAATGCTGTTTGTAAATAGATACTATTGTTATTACATTGACATATATACAGTAAACTATGGTTATAACAAACTCAAAGGGACCACTAATTTTAGTTTGTTATAACTGTTGTTCATTATAAGCATACATACAGCATATATTCAGCAAAGTCTGGGACCAAAAAACAGAGTTTGTTACATCCGTCAGTTTGTTATAAGCATGTTCGTTATAAACATAGTTTACTGTATTCCATTATAGTTCTACCAGTACAACACAGGTTAAATATGTTATTGCAATTATAACATAGACATTATCATGATGACAAGAAATGGTAGCATTCAGGAAATAACTTTATCTTTATTAAACACCGAGATGAATTCTTGTAATTGTTTTGAAAAAAATGATGCAATTGTTGGTATTGTCAGATATGTTTCTGAAACAAATAAATGAAACATTATTGACCACGCTGTAAACTAAAACCCTTTGGCATTCATAGAATATTTTTGGATTACAAAAATTACATGCATATTTGGCCTACATGGGACCAAATAGATTTCTGAATCCTTGAAGTTATAATAGTATGTTTGTATGTCATGTGTGAATTCACATACAGAATTCAGCTGTAATGTTCATGTTTAGTATTGGTTACATCCATCTTCCTGAGACGAGGGCAATAACGGACTATAAAAGTCCAGTTTCCACCCTTGCCAAACTAAGCTGTAATTCAGGAGTTACATTATGGTTGGACTAATGAGTCTATGCACAGTCCAATCAAAATCGTGTAATGAACTAGACATCCGGTTCATAAACAACATGGATTTCATTGCGCAGATTTCAGTCGACTGAAGGATTTGCAAAGCATGTGTACCGTCAGCTGGGCGTCGACATGTATTTTGCAAATCATTTCATGTTTTTAATCAAGGTGCTCTAGTGGTTTGATGCACTTCACGAGGCAAGGCCCGTTTTATTACTATAGATCTTGATTATCCATCAGATCATATTGACTGGGAGCTGACATTTTGTTTGAAGCAGTTGCAAATGATATGAGAGGTGTAATCTGATTGGTCAATAGGAGGGACATAGAAGGGACATAACTCATAATAGCCACAAGCGCTACGATCAAGCCTGGAAATTTCAGCCTAGTTCGACAAGGGTGGAAACTGGACTTTTATAGTCAGTTAACTCCCTTGCCTCAGGAAGATGGTTTACATCTGGTTCATTTATTCTATGCCAACCAAGTGGGTTAAAATTTTAGAATATTGTACACTAACATATTCCAAATAAATAGTTTGCATGTGTCATGTGAGAGGTTATCACCTTTATAGCATGTCAAAGAAACACCCTCAGGTCACCTTCACAGGATGCTGAGAAGGGCCACTTAGCCATAACTTTCTAGGTTATATTGTGTTCTGAAAATTCTCTAAATAAAAACATTGCAAAAGTCAACAGTGAGATTGAATTTGTGGAATGATGGCCAACGAAAGGCCCTTTTTTTGGTCAATTAGTCATTGTCAAAATAAGGTTTTCAATGTTGAAAAGCAGCCCAAATGTTCCCGAATTCAATTGACATGCCTGTACAGGCACTGGATATTAAAATAGTAAATCACCTACAAAGTTTCTTTGTTTTTGAAGTTTTAATAGGCATTAAAGCCATTTAAAATTCAATCAGGCCACAGCTGTCAAGTCAATAAACATGCGACAAAATAACTTATCAGTGTTTCTATCATGTGCATTATCATGATTACCTCCATTGTATAATGCAATGAATATCAGAGCAGGACATTTTTAGCCAAGCTCTGGTTGAGTGGTCATGGAAGATTGCTGAACAGATTTCTTGACAAACAAAAAGGTTCCCAGGATGAGAAGAAAACTTGCAGAGATTTTTAGACACATCAGAAACCTTTTTTGATATATTGGTTTAACGCAATACAAACGCACACTGAAGCTGCAAGCATGTCATGAATATGTTGTAGATCACTGGAACATCTTTGAAGGTCCGGGTTACAACTGATCATCAGCAAACCATGCCTGCCATAAGAGGAGACTAACTTGCTAATGCATGTCATCGTATGCAAACTGCTTAAATCAATGCACCAGACTTAATTATTAACAGATTGCAGTCATACAGTTTGAATATTGCGAAGTGTTGCGTAAGCAACGAACATCATTTGGGCATTGCCTCAACATGCTTTATGTAGACAGACAGGAATGGGTAATACCCCCTTCATTATATTTCATGATCTGCTAATCCTCAGGAGAGAAACTTCACTTCCCCATCACAGGATAATCCTCTAGGTACACAAGTCTGTTAGTCCAAGACAAGTGAAAATCTAGAGGGACCAGTTGACTTCTCCCAAGATATAACTATGCTACTCAACACTTACTAAGGACCACACCTTTGACTAAAGATGACATTTATGGTCATTTGCAACTGTCGTAGTAGTATATTGTACAGAAACTAGTCTGAAATGAGCTGTGAACAGTTGAACTTTACCAGTGGGGTATACCCCTGTCCATACACATTAGGCCATCGGGGCCACCTGACGACCATCTAAATCTTGTCTGGAAGCATGAATTCAAACTTAAATATCCAAAGGAAGGTCAAGTTTGGATCTTGAAAACTATTCAAACCCTGTCAAGATGTGTGGGTCTTCTGTTCTGATATTATCTACACTGTTTGTCTTCATGTAACAAGACCCGTGAAGATTTCGGGGTAGAATAGGTCTTCAGCAACCCATGCTTGCCGTAAAAGGTGACTATGCTTGTCGTAAGAGGCGACTTACAGGATCAGGTGGTCAGGCTTGCTGACTTGGTTGATGCATGTCATCGATCCCAATTGCGTGGATCGATGCTCATGATATCATTCACTGGATTGTCTAGTCCAGAATCGATTATTTACAGACCGCCGTCATATAGCTGGAATATTGCTGAGTTCGGCGTTAAACAACAAACCAACCAACCAATCATGTAACAATACAGGTTTAGTGGGAAAAATAACTAAGATTTCTAGAAACTGAACATCAAACTTTATTTCAGATAAAATTCCTGCGTAGTTTATAAAGCTTGATGGTTCTATTTAAAACAACAGTGTACATTTGATATTGACGCATCTATTGTTCTTCTTTCACAAGACATAGATTCACCACAACAGAACAGACGAAGACGTTTCTAGTTTTCATCAACTTTTAGTCAGGCTGCTTTCATCATAACATCTTCCAACTGTAACCCTGTGTCCATATATTTCACTTCCTACTCATACAAAGCATGCACTAAATGTCTGAACACATAAAATTAATACATAATTATTTCCAACAGTTGAATATTTGTATCATTGCATGATTTTGACAAAGAGATTAGCTTCAACTTGAAAGCTTTTTATACTTTGTACAGATTGCTATGAAAGAAATGGACTTCAAAATGTTGCTTAGTTATGAAACCAAGATATAGTCACTAAATAAGAATCATTACTGTGATATTTGTTGTAACTTACAACTTTCTGAATCTCAGGTGCAACTATATAACTGAAACAATACTCTATTATAACTGACACAAACACATAGCACAATTAATGCTGGAAAAATATTTAACAGAAGGAAAACATACTGATGTAATCCTGTAACATTAATTCATCTGGATCACATACACAAGGTCCTTGAAACATTGAATGTATTTCTAAGTTGAGGAAAAAGTTTTCTGGCAAATTTGCAGCTGAATAAAAGGATTACTTTAACCAGGTTAAATACATAACAGATGTGTTCAGTGTACCATTCTGATGCCATATCCCATACATTTAGTCATCAAATTTTTCTGAACATTGTACGATTATGTACACCAGGCTTTTGAAAATGTGTTCCTCATTTTAAATGAGAGAGATATGGCCACAAATACAACAATAAATGACAAACAAGACCTACATATATACATATTCTGAATACACATGTGATGCACACAGTTCGCTTGCATTCAAACTTTTCACAATATATTCCAACAATCTTTAACATACTGGCCGCACCTGTAATACGAGCCATCATGGATAATATTTCTCCATTGTAGGAAGTAGTAAATATGAAAGCTTCGGACAAATTTAGGATAAGCTTTTAAAAGACATCTACAAAACAAGAAATAAGGACTAGGGATCCATGCATGAAGCTTTCATTGATTATATAGAGAAAGGGGAGGGCTAGAAATTTACTTCTTTTTTTTCTGCAAAGAAACAAAGTTTCGCCTCCAATGTCTCAGTCAGGATAATGCATTTCCGTAATAATAGATGCCAATACTTTCAAACTGAAGTCTACACATAATGATGCCAAAACACAAGTTCATCATGTCCGTGCCTCCACTAGCAGTGGAGAAAATACTTGACACTGAGGTACTTCTATTGTAGCAAATCCCAACGTTTTAATGAAATAACACAAATGATTTTATCACCATTTTATTTTTCTCCATTATCATTTGATTAACAGTGTGTATATAAGCAGTGGGAAGAGTTTCCTGGGTAGTAACTGTGCAGATGCAAACCAGAAAAACAGGTGACAAGTCCTCTTACATGTCTGTCATTTACTACCATACATATTTCTCAGGTAGCAAAATACCGTATGACTCACAGGTGCTATTTCACTACTTGCTACCAGTTCCAGCCCTGAAGTGATTTCTTTGTCTTCATTATCTGCCCAATGAACAGAAACAAGGCAGCTATATACAAGAGAGGCCTTCAAGAAAAGTAAGGATAAAGAGCCTGTACATTTTTCAACAACAATGAAGAAAAGACAAATGGAGTGATTAGAACACATGTTAATTTCAATTTTGATTATATACATTACAAATGTAAGGTCCAGAGTTTTCTCTCATATATTTGTATTTAACCATGTCCAAAATAAAGTAAATCAAACAGGACGCAACTTAACTAGTGTCAACATACAAGGACACCCTGATAAAGCCTGAAATTCTACTAGCCCTCAGGGAACCTCGACATCTTGGCTTGTGGGCAAACGCCAATCTGATAAATTATTCTGTTAATTTCAACACCTGTGAGCTTTTGTTACCCACTTATGGCTGAAGTGTCTCATTCAGCTGATATTATGCTTTCTACCAGGGCTAAGCATACCATGCATCAGATAGCTGTGGGAGAGTTAAAGCATGAAGAGATGAAACCAGGTCACTAATTAACAAGAATATTGAATGATATTGATGTGCTCAAGAGATATTCATCATAAAAGCCATTCATTCTACTGGGAATTCATCTTCTAGCTTGATATGCTTGATAGGGACTACTGTGATATGGGAACACCACTTTCAAAGGTATGAAATCAAAAAGCACCACTATGATATCTAGTTACAAGGGTATTTCTGCAGGTGACATGCACACTAACTCTTGACAAAAGCTCTGCAACAAAGAGGCACAAGCAAGAGGAAACCAAACACTAAAGGTCTTCATTCCACTACCATGATTACTAATTACACATGAATAACGATGTATGTCTGATAAACTAAAACGAAGGAATACTCATGTAGATCCCTGTGAGTGTGATTGTGTGAGAACACGCCCCTATATACACATCCATCCAGGTCAGTTCAAGCTTACAGTAACCATCATAACAATGTCAACCAAGATACTGTTTCAGTCATTGGCCTTCCTTTAGAGTTATCTCCCCTTAGCCAAATTGTCTCTTACGAACTTTGCCATTGGCCAATCAAGAGAGTGCTCCTGACGCAAGTTTGCTTGTCACTATTGAAGGTTTGCGAGGTGGAAGGGTTTCTGGGGTTGGAATAGTTTCTCCAATTGATTCTTGCAAGAAAAGTTTTTCATTGGGTGCAAGAGGTCTCTTCGGGTTGTTCATCTTTGCCTTGGCCATATTGTAGTCACCAGAGTCAAAATATTTTTGCTGAAAGTAAACATTGAAAAGTTATAGTTCAATCAAATCAGTCACATAGATTTAAATTTTCCCTTCTTCAAGACATTCATAAAACAATTGCTTTGCACAATGCTGCAGACAAGTACTACACTTAAAAAGCTCAAGATAAGCTCATCTGTATAACAAATGCACACAAAAATATGTATTATCTAATTTATTTTGAGTTGCTAGCTTTCCATGAACAAAAATAAAAAAACCAAAAGCAACAATGTGTTCAATTACCCAATGTAGTCTCTTCAGCTTGCTTATCTCTTTTTCCACACATGTTATTATGTACTGATTGAATTCAGGCATCACCCTTATCATAGTATGAAGTCAAGTATAACTATCACTGTCGCGAGCTGAAGCAATATTTGACACACTTGGCATACTTGGAGCAGCACATGAACAGATGCAAATGAGAAGTCGTAGACTACTGTATCTGAAACAGGCCTTAGGACAGGCCTTGCGACAGGCCTAAATAATACTAAATACTAGGGCTGATACGATTCTCTCGCGTATTCGGTGAATCGAACCATATCCATTCATGAATTGAATTTGTTATTTGTGGTCACTAGAATCGAATATTCATGAATATGCAGTCATGTGCATTTACATACTCTGACCCTTAAAATATCCATAACTAAGAACATATTATATGCATAGATTTTATGAGTGACAGTATTTTAGTCACTGGTCATTGTTGCATTTGAGCAGACACTAGTACCTTGATAAGTGAAGTATATTAATGTATAATAAATTAATAATTTTCAAGCCATGTCAAATAATTTATTTTGATATTGTTTCACTGAATATCATAAATAATATATCAACTGCTGACTTGTTATTGTATTTGTGAATAAATATTCGTATTCGTTACCCTATATTCATTATACGAATCATATTCGCCTCATAGTGTATTCGTTGCAGCCCTACTAAATACCAGAAGAGAAATATGGACACAGCATAAATGTAGCATGCGAGTAAATATTGAATATAGTTACATGGGACTGCAATAAAATCAAGTAAATCATGCCATGACACTGCAGCTCACCCTGACATATTGTCAACAGTCTTAAAAAAGTCACCGAACAAAAGTGGCTGTCAGCATTGATTTTGTAATATTTCCTGCATAAATACTGAGGATGCTTCAAGAAATATTCAATGAACTGAACAAAATATGCTGTCTTCACAAGTAGAAACATACTTGCTCAAGTCCAGTTCCTTGTCGTGTAATTTCAAAGGGAAAAGAATTGTACAGTAGTGGTGAGACGATTCACCGATGCATTGGTGTATTGGGATCAATTCCCTCTCAATACAAGTTTGGATCATAGTGGCACTCTAACTTAAAAATATCGATACATACTTTATATGTTTGTTTTAATAACTGTTTCACCAAACACTAATTATCTCCCCCATCTTGAAGTCTTCACATTGGATGCGAAAACAACAATTTGTCTTAAAGAGCATGAAAGTTAATACTTATTTGTCCTTAACAACTTGTCACCATAATTTCTGACATTGTCATGAAGTAGAGAAAAAGTTGTTTACAAACTATCATGTAATAGTTGGTGTTTTAATGTCAGTTGTTACAAGGGGGTCAGTGCAATAAACATAACAACTGAAGGGCATCGTGAACACAGGGATAGTCTCAAAATTTATATTCTGAAATATTTTCATTGTCAATGTCTAATGAAATAATTTGACTGACAACTACATGATCTAATCCATCTATTTTACAACATGAAGCGCTAATTCCAGTCTCAACTTTGTCAATGCACCCCCTTTGACTTGCAACAATCATAAATCATTGCTTTGAGTATAAATTTATTTTGCACTTCATCTGTATTATTTTGCAGTAAAAAATATATTGAAAAAATGGAATAAATATGTTGAATCCCACATCTTATTACAAAAATACCAAATGTCACTACATTTTGTACAAAAATAGCTAATGACCCTATTGAAAGTTGGATTTGAATCTCTTGAACACATTTAGGTGTAATCATTGGTGTGAACAAGCATATAAAATTACGCTTCACTGGTCCAGTGGTTTCTGAGAAGGTGTTTGTGATGTACAATTCAGGCCATGATATAGCTCACTTGATGTTCAGTCATGTGAGCTAAAAATAGACAGAAGCCTATCATACATACTTTCACTCACTAGTATGTGTCCGTATATGCATGCACATAGAACATATTACAGATACACGTCCTATTTGTTTGAACCTATTAAAACTATGAAGAATGAAAACAAAATATTTGACAGTCGCACATAGCAAACATCCTTATCAGAATTTAGAATCTGTACATGGAAACTAATTCTGTATAATAACAAAAGTATCCCATAAACTGCAGAAAATCAAAATATCAGACCTACTTTATTCATTAACTTCCTGTTGAAAAAGTTGACTCTTAAAATAGTATGTCACAGCGCTACCATTTTTCTAACTTGAAACATGAAATGAATTGTATGTTTCATAACATGTAGTTTTCTTTTGCTTTCAGGGCTACATGACATAGCTCTCCTAATTGTTTTTACACTCTGAAGATCTGGGTTAGAACAGGTCTTCAGTAACCCATGCTTGTTGACTTGCATGACATCATATCCCAATTATGTAGATCGTTGCTCATGATGACAATCACTGCATTACATTTAGACCACCATAATAAAAGCTTTATGGTTCCAAGTTAAACAACAAACAAACAAAATAACTACTTTTACTCAGCTGTGTGACAATTTACACAATCATCTTCAGACCTTGATATTTTGTAAACTTGAAAAATACAACATTAATTGAAAAGCTCATCTGATATTTTGATGTTAAAATAAGAAATGTGATAGTTTATCTGACAACTTGTGGCATTTTCACAATTTTTCTAATCATGTTTGTATGAATGGGGTAGCTAAAAGAAAGATACATGACGTCATCTCGGTAGAATGACAACCGGCCGCCATTTTGTAATGCGTACAACATTTTCATTTGCTCATAAATCACCACAAAATGAGGCAAATAGAAGCTTAGATTTAACCTCAGAGCACAGGAAAAGGCGTTATAAGGGTGAGAAATTATAAAAAAATCAGAGCCACGCTAGGAGGCTATGCGACCTCAGGTTCGGACACTTTGCGGCCTCATCATTTAGTCGTGGGCCAGTTAGTTTGGAGAAGGGCCAGTAACTTTTAAAAGGAGGAAGCCTTGCTGGCTACATACAAATTTGTTGTTAAATCTACCCCTGTCACCTGTATGTAGAATAACACGATATGATAAGCGCTACTTACTCCTTTTGCCAGTCTCTTGTGGAGTAGTGCTGAGCCGCCAGAGTTGCTTAAAGATGGGTACTTGGCCTTGAGTTTGTCAGCCTCCCTCTGCTCCAAAGCCTTCTTGTCAGGCTGTGGTTGGGGCTGTGGTTGGGGCTGTGGCTGGGGCTGAAATTGTCATCACCATGTACAGATATAGTTCTTGTTATTTACTATTATTTGTGAGTTGTACAACACCCCACTAGGGAATATTCCAGCAATATGAGACAGTCTATAAATAATCAAGTGAGACAAACCACTACCAGGGATTAATATATGATGTCAGGGCCCTTTAACATGCTATCTACCAAGTCACTGAGTATAGCCATCTGATCCAATAACATGATTTCAACAAGCGTAAGTTGCTGGAGGCATACCCGTGAAGATCGGGTTAGAATTGATCTACAGCAACCCATGCTTGTCGTATGAGGCGACAAATGAGATCGGGCAGTCAGGCCTGCTGATGTGGTTTATGCATGTCATTGTATTACAGTTGCAAGGATTGGTGCTCTTGGTGACAATCACTGGATTTTCTGGTCCAGGTTCGATTATTTACAGACCGCTGTCACATAGCTTGAATATTGCAGAGTGTGGCATTAAACAACAAACAAAAATTCTCTGCTGAATGTTACAACGCAAGTAACATATTAGACATGAGCAATCTCTATTATATTATAACATCATGAGAATAATGCATCAAAAAATCCTCAACAAGCTAACAAACAAAATACAAAATACAACAAATAAATAAATTTGAAACATTGTTTAAAAAATGCTGCAAAATGGAGGTGTCATGCCTTTGGAAGAGAGATTGTGAAAAGATATACCAGTCTTCTTTGAAACTCATAAAAGAAACAGGGACTGCTTCCAGTCTAGCAACACATCTGAACTGCCGGATCCCCAGGATTCTACACTTCAGCTGAGCTTGTCATAATAGCTTCAACAGGGTTCAAGGCCAACAAAACAATGACACCTGACAGACAGTTAACATGACAATGAGGAATGTCATCAGCCCCTACTGGCTATTTGCCATGTTTGAAGCAGGAGAATTCAACAAAATATGAAACTTTAGTACACCACATAATTCATCGCGGAAATTCGACACAGTCAAATTCAAACGACCTTCTTGAATTCACGATTTATTCCCCTTCCGGTGAAGTTGCCTTGACATAGTTTAGAACATGCTCTTGCTGTTGTGAAAGTACATGTTCTGAACTTACGTCTCTAATCATCAACTCATGCTATCTATTAGTGAACACTACACTAGTGCACACTGCACAAGTGCACAAGAGGGTGTGTGAGCATAATGTCAGAATACAAACATTATTTAGTTGACTGTTGCAAATAGCCACAGCAAAACCGGGTCTGATTCGTGAAAAAAATAAACATATACTCAGTTTCCAAATAATTTCATTCCATCCACTGAGACAAACACATATGTTGAATTGGTTCACAGCGGACATTTATTGCTGCGTGAACTTGAACACTTTTCGAAAGGTAAACACGAACACTTTAATAATCCCCATGTGTGTCGTAATAAAGTTAAAAATAGGTTTCCCAAACAACATTGTATCTGCTGTCGATAAATGTAAATTTAAGCACATAAATTCCCCGTCACTACCTGGTTAGATTCTTCAACGTCAGACATTTTCAAGGGAAACTTCGCTTGACAACAGTCTGGCTCTCTTTCCTCGGAAAATGGCGATTTTGACGTCAAACAAAATAGGTACGATATTCCTACACACTAACTATATTGCCTACTTTGCAATTACAATGAAGTTAAATATGTAAACAATGAACTTGAATTGTAACTCAGTCGGTTGTATCGAGTACCAATCAAGTATCGACTGAAAAATCCAAATATTGTCTTGTACTGAACAATCATACAAATAAGGACTTTTCATTGATGGAATAGACATCTTGAAATGTGTCTTTGACAAATAGTATCTGACATTTGCGCCTGAAAGATTGAACCAATCAACTATCGGGAAATAATGAGCGCGTACCTGCAAGATGTCTGCGTCCATGCCTCAGGCATGAATAAGAAAGAAATTGTTGTGTAGTAACTGTTTTACTGTATTTCTTCAACAGCACTGACACTTGCTTCAATAATGCAGCAGGGCGTTAAAGTCTGTGTACTTGTGATCAGTCTGATTGTGATTTATACGACAGGGTGTCTAATTTTTACCAGAGGCTTTCTACTGAAACGATCGGTTGTCAATGAAAACAGCACCTGTCATGCTGATTTTTCGGTGCAGAAGGATGATCATGGAGACGACGGGTGTTGGCAACATTCCAGATTCAAAAGAGCAATAATTATTGTTATCGACGCTTTGAAATACGAATTTATGAAGTATGACCCGAAGCTGAAATCAAAATCATTTTTCTTGAACAAACTTCCTTTCTTGAATAATGTTTTGAATCGCAAACCAAAACATTCCAGATTATATAGGTTTATAGCAGACCCCCCAACAACCACGTTACAACGCATAAAGGGACTTACAACTGGTAGTTTGCCTACTTTTGTAGATGCTGGGGCAAACTTTGCTAGTGCTGAAATAACCGAAGATAACATCATTGATCAGTTAATTACACAAGATAAAAAGATAAAATTTCTTGGGGATGATACGTGGATCGGACTATTTCCTAACCGTTTTTCTAAAGCATTCCCGTTTCCATCTTTCAACGTTAAAGATCTCCATACAGTTGACAATGGCATACTTCGGCATCTCATGCCAGAAATTCGCAAACGAAACTGGGATATCATGATAGCACATTTTCTCGGAGTTGATCATTGTGGTCATAGATTTGGACCTAATCATCCAGCAATGGCAGAAAAACTTTCACAAATGGATCAGATGCTCAGGTAAATAATAATTGGCCAGCATCTCTTAAGACTGAGAATTGGTGATGGAGGAATGGAGTACGTACAAACCCGTGAAGTGAAGTAGAGATGATGATTTATATCATGACAGATGAACACTTGACATGCCAAGGAGTTACATTCCATTATTAGTAAATGATTTAACATTGTGGCGTTATGTCCCTTTTGATCCCAGCATTCAAATACCTGTTTATCATGTGGGAGTGTGGGGAAGCAGGTCAGTGGTTTGATACCATGTCCACATCATATTGAAAGATGGTACTATCCTGCCCGACACTTGACATAAAGGAAATAAACAATGACTGGCTGGCTCAGATTCCCTGTGATGTGTCTGAGTGGGATATCCATGTAAAACTGTTGCATAGTATCTCAGTGGGGAAGCCCTGTAAAACCAGACTAGTACAAGCAGCCACACACACACATGCATGCACGTTGCTATATGAGTGAAATAATTTTGAATGCAAAATCTACTAAGTCCTAACATTCAGGTAAGTTATTGGCAAACCAATATGGTTTTAAGAAAAAAACCATTTGTGTCAGATGTTGCTGAGTAAAGGTACATGTTTTCAATTTTGTATTCAGCAATGTGACACGGGAGATGAAGGATGATACTGTGCTGTTTGTGCTGGGGGACCACGGAATGACGAAGACTGGTGATCATGGTGGAGACAGCGACGATGAGTTGGAAGCAGGGCTGTTTGTCTACAGTCCATCTCAGCTGGCAGCTACAGACTATAAACCAGTGCGTTAGTTGTCTCTGCATGGGGTAGTGCATCTATATCAGTCAGAAAATACTATTTTGTGGCCTTTGCCTGCTGATTGCTTATTTTCCAAACATGTTGTCTGTTATGAGTTTACATTAACCCTACGTAAACGTGTTGACGTTGTGGAGTTTTTTGGTAGGTCTTCCTGACCAAATGAGAGCTCAATGTTTGTCAAGGCAAAAAATAGTCCTTTTTCAGAAATGTATATTCAAGGCAAAAAATATTTTAGTTAAATAACAACTGTAACAATCTTCAGAGAAAGTATGTGGCCTAAAAAGCTAAATCAATTATATCCTATGAATACAGATTTTGCAAAGTCAAGTTTACTATAAGGATTGAAGTCGAATGAGTAACTAATGAACTAAGTAACATCTACTGATTCTGTGGTTTCAGGACGTTGTGAACTCTGTGGCCCAGACTGATCTCGTCCCCACCCTGGCTCTCCTGCTGGGTGTACCCATCCCCTTCTCCAACCTGGGCATGGTGATCAAGGACCTCTTCACACACTGTTCCTGGTGGAAGACGAGCACCAGCGACATCAAGCAGGTGTATCATTCCGTCAAGGCACTCCGTCTCAATGCACACCAGATCAGCAATTACCTAAAGACCTACTCAAAAGTTTCATCTGATTTCCCCCAGGACAAGTGGAGCAGACTGCAGGAACTGCTTCAACATTCAGAGACTGACCTCCAGAGTCTTCTGACCTCTATGGTACAAGAAGGAGAAACTGCCGATATTTTGAAAAGATTCCAGAAATTAGAAGATCATTATGCTCAATTTATGACAGATGTTCGGGAAATATGCCAGGGAATATGGGCTAAATTTGATGTAATGTCCATTTTGATTGGGATATTAACTATGGCTGTAGGTTTAAGTATTAACATACTGATACTGCGTTGTTTGACGAGAGATGGAAGCGATTCTTGGACCCCTGTGTATGTGGCGACTACTGCAGCATGGGTGTATCTGGTGTATGCCATTGTGCAAACTGTTTTTCTGTCGGATTTTGTGAATCCAATGATGTTGTTTGTGTTAGGGGGCATGCTGCTTCTAGTTCTGTGGATTTTGATCAAAAATTCCTTTTATGGAGCAACCAAGGTTGAAGGAAGCCAGAAGTCACAAAATATCCAACATTCGTTAAGCTTTGATGATATTTTTGGAATCTCAATTTGTGTTCTGTATTTTCTTGTTTACTTCTCAAATAGTTTCGTGGTACTGGAAGATAGTGTAACAATGTTCTTCTCACAAACCATGATCTGGATGTTTGGCTTAAAAAATATTAAGTACAACATGTCAATCTACTTATCACAGAAGAGTCATAAAGAAATAGCAGCAAGACGCAGTAAGTCCAAACTGACCATCAACATCCTGAGCCTTGTGTCTCACCCAGTGACCTTGACCCTTGTCTTCACCTTGACCTGCAGTGTGTGTCTTCGTCTGTCGGTTCCATTCCGTGCATGTAGAGAAGAACAGTGGTTCTGCAACAACACTATATTCATGAAACCTCTTGCAAACTTGGCAGTTGATGCTGTCGGTTATCGAAACGTCAGATATTTCTTCAGTATCGCTGCTTTATCAGCTTTCATCATTTCCATCCGCCAGTGGCTGAAGTGTTATGGCAACCTCAATGGATACTCACCAACTGTGATGTGCATGAGATTCGCATATCCATTTGCGGGAGTTTGCTGTTGTCTACACTGGGCTCTGCAAGGACTCCCAGTGCAGGTCCTGGATTATCTCCCTTGGTGGCAGCAGGTGCTTCTGGCCCAGCTTGTCTACGTGTCGCTCCTACTCTCCATCCTCATCCTGGTCTTCAAGCCACTGTGTGTGTACAAGCGACCCTCTGCTAGGGATCCTTCAATCGCAATTCCCTATGGAGGTTTAGACGGGCCTCAGATCATCCCCACTGTGTACAAACATCTCCGAGATCGCTTGAGAGCAGAGGCAGATACAGATGCAAAACCGCCAGTTGTGTATGGACTGGGCACTGTCTATAGTGCCAGCCTTTTACAGGTTGTTATGGTGACAGGGCTGTTGTTGTCCCTGTTGCTAGGTGATGGATTAGCACCAAGTCTTCTTCTTGCTCTCCTGACTGTGTATGTCTTTTATGAGATTTATGGAGCAAGCGTCTTTCATCATATTGAAACAACAGGTAATAAGAATGTACATATGACTATCTCCACCACCCTCTCTTTCCTGAAGCTTACTATACATGTAACTGTAACAGGATAACATGTCACAGAATGTACCTTATTGGTGACATGTTTCAACAAAAGTACAACTACCAGATGCAAATTGTTGCCTGACATCAAAACAACACAGTTCTATTTTTTCAAATAAAGAAGTTACAAACGATTTGAGGTAAGGACGGGTTTAACACTTGTCCAAGATCATTGCACATATATGGCAGTGTGTGTGTTGAGGGGTGCACTTGTATTAGTCCTGATTAATTTAGAATATATTACACCAGCCCACTGATATACCATGCCACAGTTTAAACATCAGACACAGTGTACCGACTCCAAGCCGACCAGTAGTTGTTTTAGCCCCTTAATACTGAGTTCCAGGCACAGTAACAAGAAGTACCACTTTTTAACATCTTGTGGTATGACACGGCCGGGGGATCGAGCCCCGGACCTTCTGCTCTCCGGGCGGATGCTCACCGAGGCGGTCACAAACGATTTGTTCATTGTTTAGGGACTGGTCATTTATGATAGTGAAGGGGGAGGGGGAGGGGGTGTCATGGAAAAATGAAAAACTGAAGTGGTGCCTTTTGCTATTTACTGATTTTGGGCATTTTTACTTTTCTCAATTTCAATGGAAACAATTTGGACTCTGTCTCATAGAGGTATGGAGTTCGTTTCCATAGCCCAACTAAAAAATCGTTCAATATGTTGCAACAAAATTTGGGAGATATATCAAACAGATCCTGAAGTGGTGCCTTTTGCTATTTGTAGATTTTTTACATTTTTATTGTTCTTGATTTCCATGGAAATAATTTGGACTTAGTCTCAAAAGGGGCTGAAGGATTTCGTTTCTGGAGCACAACTTGAAAACCATGAAGTCCTTTTTACCAAACCTGGTACATGTATTAACCAAGGGCTGAAGTGGTACCTTTTGCTTTTTAGGAATTTTTCAAAATTTGATTTTTCCCTGTTTCCATGGAAACAATTTAGACTTTGCTGAAACAGAGGTAGGTGTTGTTTCCGAAGCAGAACTAAGAAAACTAGGCAACGATTTTCACCCAAACTTGGTACAGGTATTAATCAGGGGCTGAAGTGGTTCCTTTTCCTATTTAGGAAATTGAAAACAATTATTTTTTCTCCCATATCCCTAGCAACAAGTTTGACTTTAACTGTGTACATAGTAGTGTGTCTGTCCAGACCATATCTCTGAAACTAAAAGGTATTCTTACATGACACTTTGCACACACAAAGACCAGGTTGTCAAATACTGCCTTTTGATACTTAGGGATTTTTATAATTATTATGTTTTTCATTTCCATGGCAACAAGTTTGACTTTGACTTAGAAATTCAAAGTTCTGAAATCCCAATTCCATAGTATTGGTTTGATAGCTCAATAACTACTCTTGTATACGGACAGACAGATTAGATAGAAATTCTCTTAAACTGTTGGACTTAAAGTAACAGTCACATGATTTGTTCTTTTGAATTTGTGGGGGCCGGGGAGTTTGTCATCAACTGATGACTCTTGTTTCATTATTTTTACTTAACATTTGAAACATGGTTATCATTTCAGACAGACATCATCTTGTTCCATTGTCAGCCATTGTCACACTTGGTCTCCTCATGTCGACATTCTTCTTTGCAACTGGACATCAAACAACTGTTCCTGCCATCAGATTTGAGTCGGCATTCACTGGTTTCCATGGCGATTTCACATACAACGTCATCCCCGCAGTCCTCATCGCACTCAACACGTTTGCCTCACAAGTGTTCTTCATAGTTATCTCCCCTTTATTGTTGTTCTGGCCCCATCTAGAAGGCGTTGTGTCCCAGCTAATGCGGCATGTGTCAAAGAAGGACCGTGTGTGGCGAGGGGACTTTGTAGCATACGATGACAGAACTTCATTCAGGAAAAACATCATGAGACTTGTGTTTGGTTTATTACTGTTTTCAGCATTTAAGGTAAGGCTAATAAATCATGACATCTTGGAATTGCTTGTTACTTTCTTTTTGTGCCCTGTATTTTACTGGCAGTCAGTCTTAATTTTAAACTTCATGATAATTTGATTATGTATATATATATATATATATAGCATATTTCACTCTTATGAAGGTACCAGTAGGCTGAAATTGATCTCTATTTATGTCATTTATGACGCGGCAGGGATTCGAACCATCGATCTTCCGCTCTCTGGCCAGTCGCTCTGTCCACTAAACCTCGGAGCCAGTCTTCATAGTGAAAATTAATGATAAGACGTATTTAGGCTAATGATATGTGTTTTGTTTGATGATTTACGATTGGCAATACATACAGTGAAACCTCCTTACCTTGAGGGGCGGTCAGGTAGCCAAATGGTTCTAGCATTCGCTCGTCCTGCAGAAAACCCGGATTCGATTCCCGACATGGGTACAATGTGTGAAGCACATTTCTGGGGTCCCCAACCGTGATATTGCTGGAATATTGCTAAAAGCAGCGTAAAACCTCACTCACTCGCTCACTCATAAAAGAGTGTGCGTTATTGAAATCCAGTAACATCTTGGGTACCTGGGGCTAGTACAGATTCCTGAGGGCTAGTACAAACTCTCAGCTACTTTAACACCACAAAGGCTTTTGATTTTTACTTGGGCTAGAAAAGATTCGAGTTTAGTTCTAACCTTGAATACCGTTAGTAATGAACCTGTTTAATGTTCAAAGCGCTAGTTGTTGCAAGAGATGTGGTCAAAGAAGATGAATCAGTGTTATTGTCATATGTTGTAGAATACAGATGGCACTGTTGTCAATATTGCCAAAATTTGCATGTGGTGTTGCATCCTTATGTATTCCAGAAATACATGACTGGGTTCCAATCTTGCATTTGCCCTGATTATGTTTCTTGGTTTGTCAGCACCTACCCTTGGTTTCAATCAAATGGTAAACAAGGTAGAAGCCAGTAAGGCTTGCATCAGTCTGGGCGGTTTCACATATTGAACTGACATGCCGTGATAAGACAAATACTATTAGACAGATACTGTTAGATACTCACTCACCAATAATTAAATCCCTCGTCTGTTGCAGGTGCTTGGTGCTATGGCGGCTGCAGGTTTACATCGGCGCCACCTCATGGTGTGGAAAATATTTGCTCCTCGTTTTGTTTTTGAGGGAGCGGCCATGTTTGTGACCTTCACTGCTGTATTGCTTGTGTACCTGTTTCTTGTAATAGTTGACAGGGCAGTGAACACATTCGCGGAGGGATTGAACAAGGAGAACTAGATGGACAATGTACATGCATCTTCCCGAAGCAAGAGGTAACCGACTTTAAAAGTCCAGTTTCCACCCTTGCCGAATTAGGCATGAATTACTGGACTTGATCGTAGCGCCACCAGTGGCTATTACCAGTGATGTCCCCTCTAAGCCTCTCCTATGGACCAATGAGATTCCACCTCTCGTATCACTTGCATTTGCTTCACCCAAAATGGTGGGGCCAAGTCAGGATGATCTGATCGATAATCAAGATCTATATTGTGATAAAACGGGTCTTACATCGCGAAATGCATCAAATCATGTGAGCACCTTGATTAAAAATAGAAAAGATTTGGAAAATATCTGCTGACGAGTTCGAGGTGCACATGCTTTGCAAATACTGCAATCGACCCAATTCTGCACGACAATTTACGAACCGGATTTCGATTTTGATTGGACTACGCATAGACTCGTTAGTCCAGCCAAAATGTAACTCCATAATACCAGTCTAGTTCGGCAAGGGTGGAAACTGGACTTTTATAGTCAGTTAACTCACTTGCCTCGGGAAGATGATGTACATGAGACAAATAGCAGTATTGTATTGTTTAAACAGAATCTGGGGTTGAGGGAGGATATTACTGCATTGGAGAAATTAGTGTTAGAGAAAAAAGATTGTGACAAATGTAGGAATAGTTTCTCTTAGTGCTTGGAGCAACACACCCTCGATAATCCAGCCTACTATATCACCATTCATTTATGTTATGATATATACCCTGGACTACGTCGCGACCATAGCCTCATATGTGAATTGATGTCACCAGGTCCATCTTTTCACCAACAAAGAACAGAATTTCTCTCCTGCGCTTACTTCAACAACCAATCAGAATGCCTCTTCTGAATGAACATTGTTACCGGTGTTGTTGCGCCACTGTGCGTGGGTTGAATCTCACACCAGTGGTCTGTCTGCTCCAGGCTGGTTTATGGGTGCCTGTTTTCTGTGCTGTGGACTAGGGTGTTTCATTTAGCTTCACTTCAGTTTCATCAACCTTTTCCAGCAGGGCTTCTGGGTTGGTTGGATGGTTTGTTGTTTAACGCCGCACTCAGCAATGGAATAGATGCCCAGCAGCCTGAGCTTGTCATGAGAGGCGACTACATGGATCCTGTGGTCACACTTGGTGACATGGTGTGCAGTGGCATGGGACATTACACATAATATTAATCACTCTTTGTCTTGTCCAGACTTGATTATCTAAAGGCCGCAATCATATTGCTGGAACGTTGCAATTTTTGACATTAATTGATTAAACAATCAAATTTTCTGCTACTTCCATTTGTACAGTTGATGCAGATATAGGATATCACTGTACCCTGATATACATTCTTTTTTGTGCCATCATTGTTTGTTACATTTTGTATACATATATCACCATTATTCAGGAAAAGTCAATAAATCTTATTGTTTTGTAAATATTTGTATGTATTGTGTTCTGCGATTAAAGACACAGTTACCATGGTTACAGTCACTGATATTTGCTTCAGTGTTGTTGAAATAATAGCGAGTGATTATGAAACCAACAAGGGTTCATCCTATTGCATGAGCTAAATTGTCTGCATATTGGATTGTAGGGAGTTATTTTGCCTAGCCATCATTGATAACTTGCGTCCTGGTCTCCATGGTAACACCCCACATGATTGTGGCTCTCACTGAGGCAGGTTTTATTCACTCATACAAGATGGACATACAAACAATATGAGCTGTACACTTGGTTCAACCTTACCAGTTTCTAAGCATTAGCTTTTTATAAATTAATTGTTAGATTATCATGGTTTTTTTCCCTTGATGAATAGATATGTGCCAAAAAGGACTGAATTGATCCTTATAAAGATCAATTCAGTCATTTTTGGAACATATCTATTCAACAACCTGACAAAGCTTAATCAAATATTTAACATGTTAAAAGCGGTATGACATGAAGTTTAAGACGAAGATGGGAGGGGATGACCATGATGATAATCTAGTGATTCGTTATACCATGTACACTGGCCTTACCATGCTTACTGTGAATACAACAGTATAAATGAAAGCTCTCTTTCTAGTTAAGGGTACACTTTCCTTTTGAAACTTTCACATGTAAACTTTATTGTCAAAACAACCCTACAGGCTAGTAACATGAAATGGTATGAAAATGTCATGGTTTTTTATACAGAAACTCTCCATCTTCATCATATACACAACTGTCCTTTTCATACACATCTTCCCTTTTGCTTGAGGATTTCCTGTTCATTAACATGGAAGGGTACTTCTCTGATTTTTCATGAAACCTATCCATGTTATCCTGTTTAAGTTCAGAAATTGTCAAGTTATCTCTTATTTGAAGCTCTCTCTTTGTATCTTCCACATGTAGCTGATCAGCATTCCATTCAGACTCTACCTCTGACCACATAGAATTGCGTTTTGTCTGGCGGACACTGTTAATTGGCCCAGTTTCAAACATACTCAAGTGTTCTAGTTGTGAATCGCTGAGTGATGTTAACTCTACTTTTCCCATACCAAGGGTCTGTGCTAATCTTTTCTGGCGGCGGGAAGGAGCTCCCGCTTCTGTTGCATCCTCTCTCTTTGTTGCATCTGTTACATGATCAGAAACAAGCAGCTCGTTTTCTCTATCTGACTTCAAATTATCCATACTGGAAATTTCTGCAAGCAAAGACTTATCATCAGAAAAATGTTTAGCATACTGATGTTTTGGTTCTCTGGTTGCTTTAAAATCTGTAACTATGGACTCAAAAAGTCCAACTTTCCTCTGGTGTGTCTGTGAAGTAAGCCTATCTGGAACAACAACACCGTCAATGCCACCTGCATTTATTACCAAGGCAAATTTATCTGATGATGTAAGATGCCTCACTGATTCTTCTACTGGTCCACCTTCAATGTCTTCCAACGCATTATCATTTTTCTTCAAGTAAGATCTCACGGCAAGCCAATTCTTACGGACACGATTATCATGTCTTTCTATTTCCCACTGTTGTTTTGGCACATAACTTGATTTGAGAATTGCGATGATGCCTGTCTCCGATACAGGAAAGCTCTTTGCTAATCTGGTCACAGTCCACTCGTGAGGGTATTCAGAGTTAAGATATCGAATTTGTTCTTTTGCATTCCATGAGAGGAGATTCAGTTCAGATGCTTTCTTGAAGTATTTCCTTTGCACGATCTTCTTTTTCAGCAACAATCTTTCTTTCTTTTCTTCTCTGGAACAAAATCAGTCTTGTTTTAATGACAAAATTGTGACCAAACTAAACCAGCTTCTGTACCATATTGAAGATATTCCTAAATTCTGTGTATTGTAACCCTAGTATAAAAAACAACTGTCCACCTTTTCTTATACTACATAAACAAATCATAAACATGTTAAAAAGGACAGTAATTACATCCTCTTGACTTTTGTATGTCGACATGAATCATAGATGAATGATTACATGTAAACATTTCAATCAGAAACAAAAGTGGTCTTAAAATGGCAATGAAAAATGCTAATCAAACGCTACTTTGGATTCAATAACCATGATAACAGGTTCATTAGTGGGCCATATCCAAGTATGTATGATTAACAACCAGTCTATGAGGTTGTATGTCAGACAGTAAAGGGAAACCGGAGCATTGCTTGGATATGGCAACTGCAGCTGATATCATGATACAGATACATGTTCATGAACCGTTTCATTCCCTCTTCCCGCCCCCCCCCCCCACCCCCAACACACACAAACTGTTATTGTGTGCATGCATTGCCGCTCAATCCTCCTTTTATAAATTATATATAATCCAATTATCTATATTATTATTGTATTTATTTATTTTTATTTATTTATTTATTTTTTTTTTTTTGGGGGGGGGGGGGGGGTCGAGCGGATCTATTAACAGCATAAAACCTAAATCATCATCTACATTTGTAGAAACGACAGCTTTAATATTCGCATTAGGCTTTTATCAATCCAAACAAATGAAAAATTCATCCATGCCCGTGGTGACAGTCGAGGCAGACAATGATTAGTGCCAGTAATATGAAAATCGGAAGCTGGTATGGTTACAAACCGTGTCTTATCTGCCTTAGACCGGAGGAGCTGGTCTTCAATTTGATCCAAGTCTGAAATTATTTCTGATTCGTCTGCAACATCATATTCGTTCAACTGAACAAACTCTGACGGTTTGTAGAATGGAATGTGTCCCCGTCGCGCATATCCTCGCAATGGAACCTGTGTTGATGACGAGCACAGTGCTAAGGGACGAACAAACTGATGAATTACACTTTTAAACATTCTTCCTGTCGATTAACAAAATTCAAACACACGTGAAAATGATATTACCACCATGTTGAATTTTGACCGGAAGTTAAATAGTATGTTTTGTCAGACTATTATTTGAAGTTCATAAACGTTATTCGAACAAGAAATTGATGGTGCCCCAGAATCAGGCTAAAACGACGACAAAGTTACCTGGTGAAAAAACTATATACCATGTATATATTATAACGGTTCAGTATCCTTATACGTACAATTCATTGTGCCTACAACGTGTATGGCTGCGCTGGGATATGCTTCAACATCTCTTTCCATACACGGAAATGGACTGTACCAAAGTACCAGCTTTTCCACGTACGACACAAAGTTAAACAAAAATAGATATTTCAATGTCTTTTATTCCAGTAACAACAGGACAATCTACACATATTCAAGACCACAAGTGGATCATGTTGACAATGTTCACTGACACAAGGTTACTGTTGCTGTTACTGTTGTTTGGTCAAATGGGAGCAGGTGGGAACGGCCTCATGTCAGAACGGATAAACAAAGACGAAAAAACTCAAGTATTGTGTCAACGTAAAATGGGGCATGAAGTATAGTTGGCTGGGTTTGTCCGGATTGTGTTGTTGAAAACCAAAACGAGTTATTGTAAAGTTGGCTAGGTTTGTCGAGATCCTGTGCATCGACGTCGCAGTCACTTAGAAAATCAAAGCATTCCATTGTCTTCCAATATAACTAATATCATGGTGTGTGAAATACATAGTTATTATTAATAATATATCCGTTGCTTTGACAAGGAATCAACAATTCACATAAGTAGGTATCAGATGTGATTGCGTTGGTGCTTCCAGAAAATATTTGTTTGAAGGAAGTTAGTTGGTCTATGCTTGTGACTTTTCGCTTCATCTACAAGGCAGTTGCCACGATGTTTGAGAGTGTTTTTTGCAGTATTGGGTTGGGAGTATGAGAGCCCTCTGCTAAGACGCCTCATTCAACTAATGATGAGCATATTTCCCTTAAAACGCCAGTGTCTTACGGAGCTTAGCTTCCGTTGCTTGGAGTGAGTGAGTGAGTTTGGTTTTACGCCGCTTTTAGCAATATTCCAGCAATATCACAGCGGGTGACACCAGAAATGGGCTTCACACACTGTACCCATGTCGGGAATCGAACCCGGGTCTTCGGCGTGACGAGCGAACGCTTTAACCACTAGGCTACCCGACCGCCCCCCGTTGCTTGGAATTGATCTGCGTTGTTTACTGTAGTTGTCCCGTATTTTGTTTGCAATCTGTGCTATATCCATGATTGAGGACGTCATGATGGGTTGATAAAGGGGTCCCATCTGTCGCACAGGCCCGGACAATAAGGAGCGACCCTTACCAAATAAATACAGGGTTCCACAAACGGTCTGGAACAAAGTGGTGATGTAGCCAAGCAGAAATCTGTGACGTCAACAATGGAGCCACGTCATTGTTTATTGTGTCCCCATAAGTTATGTCGTCATAGACAAAATACGTCAACAATCAGCTGATGTCATGGACAATTCATTGTATGGGCTGCGAACGTGGCTGACGGACGTCTTGCTCTCTGGGTGTACTGCAAAAGCGGTTTTGGGTGCAACAGAGACGGGGATGTGCACAGGTAAGTCAGTGGCTTTATTCTTTGATGTGAAACCAGTTTGGATTAGTATTTAAAAATGAAATACGCGTTATTGACTGAAATATGTATGTACAGTGCGGACGACTGTGGATTTGGTGATTGTATCCTGCTCTGTCTTGTTATTGAGTTTGAATTGAGAAAGCCGATGTTCAGGAGGTAACTGTTGATGGCAACGTCGGCATTATGATAACGGGATTGTTACAAAACTTAAATGTGATTTTACATTTAAAATGATTGAATTACAAATGTGTAGACCTTTGTGTGAAGGCTGCAGAGTTAAGTGTCGGGCGCTGAACGCGAGTATTTGTGTAGTGACTGTTGATTGCCGTCACATATGACTTGAATGTTTGTTCCTGGACGACATTGTTTTGTTGAAAACCAAAACAGTTCCACTTGTTTAGTTGGCGGGGTTTGTCCAGATCGTGTGCATCAAAGTCGCAGTCAGTTGGAAAATTAAACTATTCTATTGTCCTCCACTATAACTAATATCATGGTGGTTTGAAATCAGTCACTGACATAAGAGATAATGTTAATATAACACACAATTTTGCTTTCATATGAAGCATTATGAGAACTGGGGAGCCAATATGCAAGTATTACACGCATTCACTCACGGAAGAAATTTATAGTTGATATTGTATATTTTTCAATCAGTCTGAACACATGTATATCAAAATAGCAAATAAACAAGTCCATGGAAAATGCTTTGTTGCACTTTAATGTTTTTTTGCTTTCACTTAGACATTCATAACAGTAAGAGAAGGTTTGGGATTCCTCTTGAAAGTACTAAAATAACAATTGTTCTTTACTGAACAGAGAGTTTTTATGATAAAAACATTGACAATAAATTTCTTCTCTCATTTTCCAATGTAGTTCAATTCAAATTTCTTCTCTTTTGCTAAACTGTTAAGAAAAAATGTTAACACGATCCGAAGGTAATGAGCCTGTTGAATGTTACCCTGTGAGATCTGCCAAATCCTTATCGGATTTGACGCTATCTACAGGTTCAGCCATTTCCAATTTCCTCCACTAGTTATTGGAAACGTTCAGGAAAATATTTCCTTTCTCCCTTAATCCCATCTTTCATGCATGTAAAACATATACTTAGTGAGAGCTTTCTATAATCCATACAATAAACTAATGTTCATTCATTATGATATTGATGGGTGTAGGGAACAGTCCCTTTGAATTTTATGATTTAACACACACACATTTATGTACAGTTTGGCAGATTATAATAATATACATATAAAAAGTCATCACCACTTCCCAAGTTCACTACAATGTCACCAGTGGGAAGTTGTCGGAGATAAACACGGATTCTAACCAAGTCTGATCTTTTTTTACCATGGAATGCATGAACTGGTTGAGTGACTTCTTTCCATCAGAATTACACACAGAGAAAGAAAGGGGGGTTAAATTTATTACATTACGTTACATTATTGAGTATAGTAAAGATTTATAGGTATATATGTTGACTATTAATTATAAATGATGTATAAGAGTTGGCAATATAGATAAAATTAAGCCCATATATATTAGTAATGTATAGCTTTGATAGGTGTAAAGCACAGCAGGATATAGTAATATAAACAGCTAGGCTGTATGAGGGGCCTGCTAAATAAAGGAAAACTGAAGTGAAGCCTAGCTTCAACATTGATATGTTTGTATGTTAACATGTTTGATAGCGCTTGTACAAGAAACTTATTCTCCAGGAAAAGTAATTAAGCATTAAGAAACCTGACAGACACTTTTGACGTTCAATCCGTAATCTGTAGGTTTGTTCATTGGGACAGGACGTCGTTCTTTCTGAAGTATTGTTTTCACACAACAGCCGATAATCCCTAAGCTTACTCTGGTCCATTCGCCTTATTCAAAAAGATTGAGAGAAGTTTCAGCCCTAGTGACCAACTCCGAGAGTTGGCTTCTTTCCCGGGAATACCTCTGCCTTCTGGCTTCAAGCGACCAAAGCATTTATTTTGTAATCTAGGCTTACATACATTTACATTCATACATAATTTACATACATTTAATCATACATACAGCCATACATACCATGCGTACACACAGCCATGTAATCATACGTACATGCTGAATAGGAAGCGTGGGTATTGATCTGTTGTCTTAATCACTGACCCATCAAGAGTGTCAGTCGCCAGGTATAAAATCTTTTTATTGTGATAACTGTCACACCTGATCATGACTTATTTGTCTGAATGAGACGCCTGAAAACAAGGGGTGAACCTTTACACAGTAACTCGGGGAAACAATTTCTGTGGTATAGAATCAAAGTACCGTTGTGCTCATGTGTATGGGGAACATATATCTCACGATGATGTGTCATTCCTTAACCAGTACGATGTATGGCATAAGTATATACACTTAAAAGTAGACACATGTTAACGATAATAATGACTGAGAGATAAATAAACGCAGGTCGGGTAAGTATTATTACCTTGGTTAATTATAAGTTGCCATTTTTTAAACAGTTTTTCATAAGATGAAAGAAATGATGGTGCAGAAAAACAGACTAGCAATTAACACTTAGCCGTGATGCAAATGCGTTACTTAATACAGTCCACAAAGAAAAATATATAGGGCGCCTTTTTACTATTTATTCGTTATACTATATATGGATACTAAAGAATGAATTTATATCACACATTTGATTTTGTTTTATCATGAAATGTTTATCAATATGGCAAATCGGTTTTTAGATATCAATAACTGAATTTATTATCAAATGTACTTTATCATCTAAAAAATCAAATGTGGTATTGTATCTATAGCCTTCGTCTCCGTGAGCTTTATGCCCATTTTTTAAATACTTCGTGAAGATAGATACAGTATCGTAACATTTGCATATATAGTCATATTCAGATGATGTCCCTACATATTACTGAGTCAAATTAAAAACTTCACATTTTTAAAAGTAATCCCATACATGATATACAACGGACAAATGTATCAGAGAAGGTAATGTTTAATCATTAATGTCCAAAGAAGGATTTTAATTAACGGTGGTAACCATAATTTGTTCCAAGCACCTACAGTATTCCGTAATAACATCAACAGTTTAAATCATAAGTCCCAAGCACGAGAATCTGATGGCACACAAGTTCAGTAGCGTGTATGCCCACCATGTGCGTTGAAAACTGCCACACAACGCCTCCGCATGGACCTTGTGATGCTTGTGAACACATGATTGGGAAGACGACGCCATTGTTGCTGCAAAATGGTGCCAAGATCTAGCAAATTCTGTGGTTGGTTCTGGAGAGTGCGCAGACTTCTGCCAAGAGCATCCCAGACGTGTTCGATGGGATTGAGGTCGGGAGACCTTGACGGCCAGTCCATGACGTTGACTCCCGCATTCTGAAGGAAATTCCTTGTCAAAATTGCTGTCTGGGGTCTGGCATTGTC